GACATTTAAATCCCCATCATCTTCCAAAGTATATCTACAGTACCAGCCAGAAAACCAGGCCCTTAGACCTTGCAAGGTGTTGTCATTTTGTCATTGGCGGGCCGCCAATGCAGTTTGGGGGGGGTGGAATGTGGCAGCACGGGCTCTGTGGGCTGGCTCTTAATTTGAGGGTGAGTTATAATTGGCCGCTTGTGCTGGCCGTCAACCCATAAAAGCACTAACCTGATTGCTCCTCTACTTCTGGCCTCTTGCTTTGGCCCTGCCCACCGGCTCGTGCATTTCCATGTGCTGTCCGGCACCTCGCAGCAGGTAATCCCATTTGATTCAAAATTAGTTTATAACATGGACAGTTGTTAATCCCGCATCTAATATTTATCCCGGACATCACTGTCTTGAAGCCTACGCACGCAATGCACTGATCTACACGCCTTTGTGTCAAAGTAACGGTAAGCGCTCCCGTTCCACAAAAACTCTCCGAACCCGCTCTTAGCCTTGTGTTTGTTTAGGCTCCAAATCTGTCGCACCCTTATCCTCTCCCTCATTGTAGCTGCAAATAAGGCTTGAGTTGTAAGTTTGCCTGTTTAACGTGTGGTAGCATAACAATATGTACCGTAAATGTATGTGCCTCCGCTTGTGCATGTAGACGCTGCCGTTTTACCCACTCTCATCTATGCGCCTTACTGCGCGCTGTGCTGTCTGCTTGGGGCTGCCTGCCTTCGCTTCGCTGCCCTAGCCCCGATCGAAATTCAGAGATCGGTACAGTCGACTCTGCTTCGCTTTGCACAGCACCCAGAGCCTGCATATCCCAGCACTCCTCCCAGTGACGTCTACACAAGGGACTTAAAGACTGCACCTTCCGTGCTCCTCAAGCCTTGAAGTACTTGATTTTCTGTCACCTGCACTGCCTATTGTGACCATGCTTTTGTTTTGTAGGGGCTGAAGGGCCAACACGCTGGTGTTGGATTTATATGGTGGTGGTTCCTGTTTGGGTTTGATTTGCACATTCTGTGTGTGGTGTTCATTTTGTATTGTTTTAGCTCTCTTCCCCTTTTAGTTCTCCCCTCACGGTTAGGGCTCAGCCCCGAACTTCTTTAAGTGTGTGTATTGCTTGTGATTGTGTGTGTACTGTGTCTGATGATGTGTGTGTGGTGTGCTTGATGGTGTGCGTGGGGTGTGCTTGCTCGTGCACGTTAGTTGATTTTTAGTAACTAGGTGTAACCAGGTGGGTTACTTATGGCTTTCATACGGTCCGTGAATGCACCTGCTCCCTCGCTGTCTGTTTACCAGCTGCGCCAGCTAATTACATCAGTGTAAAACCAGTGTGCACGCCATAGCAGCACACCTCTGGATCTTCGGGCTTTTCGTGCCGTGCGGTGGGTCATGTGTGGGGGCAGACGTGTGAGTAGAACATCTGCACGTTAGCTTTAGCCAAAGCAAATATTAAGCACTACTCTGTCACGTCAGGTGGTTGGTCTGCTGGTGTCCGCTTCAGGCCCGAGGCTCACTATGCGCCGGGTTGAGGCGCATGCGAGGTATGCCGCGTTCCACTCAAGTTGGAACTTGAGTTAGCCGCTGCTGTTTGTTTTGGCTTATCAAATCTTTAGAATATAAATCGTGTTTTGGCATCAAATCTTTACAATGTACGTGTTTACATCTTAAGACTATTGAGAGTATAAAGCCCTTTCTAGCACTCAAAATGACCTCTACAAGCAAAAGCACTGTAAGACAGGACTGAATGTAGGTAGGATTAAGTAATTGGGGGATTTAGTTAGGTGTTTTTTTGGTTACTAACTTTGGTTTGAGTTTGTTTTCTCTATTTTGGTTTGATTCCCCAGTTGCCTTCCCTTAAATGTTTAGTGTTTGTCTTCTTTACTGCTATATTTAATTTTTTTATTAAGATTTAATAAAGGGTTGTTTTTATCTATTTGTGTCAAATGAAACTTGTATCTTTTCCACATCTCTGCTTCGTTCATGGTTTGTTGCTAGACTTGCCTGTCATGTTCTTAGTGGGACCTAGTCTAGCCCACCCCTTGGTTACATAGGACTCAGCTCTTTTAATTGCTAAATCAAAATAAACTTTTGTACTATTGAATGGGACGCCTCCTCCGTAAAACTTACCTGTCTGCTTTATTTAAGTTAATTGTATTTTCCCAGGTACTAGACCTGGGTGGTGTTGCCGATTCTAGATTTACCACTTTATAGTTCACTTTATAGTTATAACAGCAGTTGCAGAAAAAAAAACAAAAACTCAAAAGTAAGAAAAGTGGGAAGGAGGGAGAGAGTGACTTGCAGCCAGCTCCCACCCGCGCATGCACATGTGATGGAGAGACAATGTCTCGGCGACTTCAGAAGGAAAAGTGTGACATATTCTGGAGAGGGTGGTCCCAGGACCTGAGACCAGACTTTATCTGAATTTAGAGAGGGGGTGGGGGACACTTTACCAAAGTAAATAAACAAACTTGTCACATTTCTGTTTTCTTTCTTTCTTATTTGCTGCATGTCTTGTTTTCAAATGTGTTTTATTTTTATAGGGAGTTGGGAACAAATAATTGTTAAAGCTCAGTATGGTAAACTTTTTGTTGTCTCATTGTATGATCAGCGCTAACTCCAGCTGTGAGAGCTGCGAGAGTAGTCTGTCCCCTCTGTGATGTCACACTCTGGTGATGTCACAATCAGCAATTAGGTGATATCACACACTGTCAGTCCACTCCAGTCTGACTTCTACAGCAGCCATCTTGATTTTATTTTGTGCAATTGTCCATTTCTGTTTATGGTGGGGTTTTTTTACTTTGTGTGAATAAAGTTGGGCTTTGATGAAACAGGAGAATGTAATAATCTCCTACTTTAAATAGAAGTTACTGAAATAAAACTATGAACTATTAATAAACAAACTTTAATTTAATATATTGTGAGTCCCTGTGTTTGACCAGCTGCGAGGACTGATACTTATTTTATACTTATAAAATAAACACACAACGGATCACTACATAACTTAAAGCTGGGGTCTGTAACTCTCATGGGGCGTTCAGACGAGATGATGCATTGCGGCAACTTTGAAAGCAAAGTCAATGGTGACGGTCGTTCCAGAGTGTAATTGCATGTGTGTTGCAGCACGCATGCTTGGACTCTGCGGCAGACGCAGCGCAGCAGAGGTGGATACGTGGACTGGATGCATGCAGCGAAAGTAAAAGATAAACATTGAACTTTTTCCGCCAGCCACACGCATGGCAAAGTGGTCATAGGGACAGAGCGAGAAGTCTGAAGATACTTGTTTAGAGATTTCATGACACTTTGAAGCAACTGTGGTTAAAGTTCTAACACATCATTCACCAATATGCACAAGCCAGTACTTTTCCACAGCATGTTTTGATTTCTGGCCAAGCTACTGGCATCGCAGCGAAAGCTGATAGGACGGTGTTCATTCCTCCATACTGTATATTATCACTTGCAGTCTGTAACATCTTTGTTCGTGTTTGTGCCGTCTCTACCAACGACGATAAAACATGTCTTCGGTCTGAATTAAAGACAATTCCAGACTTTGTCATCTTCACTTGTATACAGCTAAATTAGGACTGACAATGGGGGACACAATGCTTGTGAACATACGCTTCCAGCCAGAGTTCTCATTCTCCAGTGAATGTAAACAACTGCTGCTAACGTGTTTCCCAACGCAGAAGTACTAATACAATTAACTTATGGCGCATTTTGTGAACACATATGAAGTCTCTGCAGACACTGTAGAGCTGCAATCTTGGAGAAGAACTTTGCACAAAAAGCTGCTTGCTCAACCGTGTTAGCATCAAAACCCGCCCGCCACCGCAAGCACGGCAGCATTTAATTCACGCGACAGAAATGTTGTGAATCTGCACCCAGTGTGCGTGGAAGCTGCGTTAAAGCGTCAATAATTTCTTGTATATATTAACTTTTATTCCTATCCTTGTCTCCTTTAAAACACACATTTTCAGAACATTAAAATAATTAAAAACAAATACATAATTTGATGACCGTTTTATATATATAATGGCATGAGGATACATATATAAGTAAGTCATCTTTAATTATATACCTATGTAAGTGTATGTTTGCGTGTATGCAAGTGTATATACAGACACACAAATAGGAAAAATAAATAACACATGAGTAAATAAATAAAATACTAATATTGTGTAGGAGGCACACATAACATAACTTGTGCAAACTTGTCTTTTTTTATATATATATATATATATATAAAAATGTCAAACAGACACATTTAATCTATTGCATCTTTTAATTAGGTTTGCAAATCAGGAAACAAGACCCAGAGTGATGTCAAATCAGACGTGAAGTCACAGGTTAGAGAGATCTGGAATGTTCGTCGGAGTCAGTGGAATATCCAAGTTTTGGTCTGACAGTAAAACGCAGAATTGGACCCAAAACAAAAACTAAACAATGTATTTTTGACATTTTCTTTAAACTGCAGCATTTTAAACATTTCAAAGCCTGGACTCTGATGAACCTACAGATCTAAACACATTATTGGCAAAAGTCACAAAACCAACTACAGTGACTTTGTTTGAAGTCTCTGGCAAGTTTGTGGCGCAGACTTTGACTCAGTATCAGCAGCTTTTAAAAAACAAACTTTGCACGAATCTGGTTCCAACACTAACGCCCTCATTAAGTCATTTTTGGTTGATTATCTCTCATGGTGATTACTAAACACTTATTCTACATTAACCATTAACTGACACTTGTGGGTCAGGGTTAGAGTTAAGAGTTTACCCATTAGCAGTGTATAAGCCGTTACTTAGGGAGGGCTGATCTAAAGTGTTACCAATTGTTTTAAGACTTATTGGCGATGACTTTAACAGAGACTGAAAAAGCAGGTTCAGTGACTGAGCTGCTGTTCTGTGATTGGCTGAACGTTGCGGTGAATACAAACAGCATACTTCTCATTGGCTGTGGGAGCAGTGTTTGAAGGGGCTGGTGCTGAGGGTGGATTATCTTGAGGTGGAGAGGTTTTACCCAGCGATCTCAGTGTTGGTGGTCACCAGCTTGTGACCGTCCCAGACCGTCTTGAACTGCTCTGGTACTGGCATCTCGCTCTGAGACAAGGAAACACACACCAGTCTTATCATGTGGTAATAATAACATGATTATGAAATACTAAAGATGCAAGGACACATAACCAGGTACTTAAGTGTAATGGAACGCAACAAGAGTATAGAGAACTAGGGGAGTGTGTGTGCTTGTACTCACAAACTCTCCGTCCTTGTTTGGCACCAAGACGTTCATCTCTGAGCTCTTGGCACTGACAATCTCGCAGCTCAGAGACTCAGAGCTCAGATACACGTGACATCCGTCTGTTTTGTTGATTGAAATGGTGGGAACTTTACCCATCACCTGCAGAGACACACGATAAGATCGACTTTATTGACCTCACACAGGAGAAATCTACATGTCACATCTGGCATGGATACTGTAGAATCACTCAAGGTGGTGCAAGAGAAAGAAATATGCAAACATGTTAAATGCAGGATATATACAATAAAAGTGGCAATTAAAAAGTGGCAATCAAAGAAACAGTGGCAATAGTAGTGCAGGTTTTTGAGTCCTAGTGCAAGTTATTTAAAGTGACTTATTGTACAGTTTGACAGTGGTGGGGATAAAGGCCCTGCGGTAGCGCTCCTTCTTGCACTGAGGGCGCCTCAGTCGTCAACTGAAGGAGCTCCTCAACAGTCCTGTGCAGTGGGTGGGAGGTGTGGTTCATGATGGAGGTGACTTTGACTAGTACCCTCCTGTCCCTCACCTCCTCCAAAGAGTCCAGCGAGCAGTCCAGAGTGGAGCTGGCCCTCCTGCCCAGCTTTTTCAGTCTACACCTGGCCCGCTCTGTGCTGCCCGGGGCCCAGCACACGGCAGCGTAGTGTATGGCAGAGGCTACCACAGAATCGTAAAATTCCTGAGCAGAGGCCTTCTCACTCCAAAGGACCTCAGCCTCCTCAGAAGGTGGAGGCGACTTTGGCCCTTCTTGTACAGGGCGTTGGTGTTATGGGATCAGTCCAGTTTATTGTTAATGTGAACACCCAGGTACTTTAAGCTGTCCACCAGCTCAAAGTCCGTGATAACCGACCCGTATTCCAGTTCGTTCCCCTCTAACACACAACCCATGATGGCGGAGTCGTCAGAGAACTTCTCCAGGTGACAGCTGTGTGTGTCGCATGTGAAGTCTGATGTGTAGATGGTGAAGAGAAACTGAGAGAACAGTGCCCTGAAGAGCCCCAGTACTGCAGACTACCACCTCAGACTCACAGCCGCACGTATTGTGGTTGGTCAGAGAGGTAGTCAATGCAGTGAGGTTACTGTCCACTCCCGTGTCCTCCATCTTCCCAGGCAGCAGTGCCGGTCTGATGGTGTTGAAAGCATTGGAGACGTCAAAGAACATGACCCTCACAGCGCTCCCAGCGGGCTCCAGGTGGGAGAGTGTCCGCTGTAGTAAGTAGATGACAGCGTCCTCTTCTCCGATGTTGGACCTGTTGGTGAACTGCAGCGGGTCCAGGGTGGGGCGGACCACGGAGCGTAAATGGGTGAGGATGAGCCGCTCCATGGTCTTCATCAGGTGGGAGGTCAGTGCGACTTGTCTGTAGTGAGCCGTTTCCTTGGCGTGCGCTATCTTAGGAACCGGGATCACACAGGTTTTCCACAGGACAGGGCCTTCTCCAGGCTGAGGCTCAGGTTGTAGATGTAGCTGAAGACCTCAGAGAGCAGGTCCGCACAGGTCCTCAGCAGCCTGGGACTGATCCCGTCCGCTCCTGCGGATTTCTTCTGCTTCAGTCGCATAAGCTCACTTCTCACCTGGCCCGGTGTGATGGAAAGGGGGAAGTGTGGGGAGACAGGGGTGTACTGTCAGAAGTGAGGGCTGGGGATGTGGGGGCAGGGGGGCCCGGGGCAGCCAAAGGCAGTGTCCACTGGGCTGGAGACGTGTGAAGCGGTGGGGGAGGCGGGCAGATAGAGAGGGGGGAGAATCAAACCGGTTGAAATATTGGTTAAATTCATCTGCCCGGCGCTGGTCTCCGCCCACAGTCCCTCTTGCCAGATTCTGCTCCCCCATAGTCCTTCTGGGCCCTCCAAATCCTCCACTGTAGCTCGTGCTGGATCCTCTTATGCTCCTCGTTGTCCCCTGAGATGAAAGCACTTTTCTTGAGGTTCAGGAGGGCTTTAAGCTCAGGGGTCACCCATGGGTGGTTGTTGGAAAAACACCATATACAGGCAGACTCACTCACCTCACACACCAACTCACCCACTAACTTACTCACTTGAATTTTGACGTCTCTGCAGTTGATGACCTCCACAATTCCAACAACGTCGTCAAAAACCAAACCAATTTTCTTACAGTTGTCTGAAAAAACAAGTCGTGTTAAAACAGCTGTGTGAGTCTGTGTGCGTCTGTTGTGAGTCTCTGACCCAAGGTGATAGAGTTGATCTTGCCCTTCACTTGCAGAGTGCTCTTGTTGCACTTGAAAGCGTAGACAACCTGTTTTAGCTCCGTGTCACTGATCACCAGGTTCTGGACGTTCTCATGGTTTTCCTGCACACACACACACACACACACACACACACACACACACACACACACACACACACACACACACTTAAAGATCAACTAAACACCTGTGTCCCACATGAATGTTTGAAAGGGCATTTCCTAGAGGACCAAGGGTCAAGAAGGGGGCTTAGAGCTGGGCGTGGTTAGGGTGGTTAGAAAGACAGCTCGCTTGTCAAGCAAAAAAATAAAAAATACTGGCCAGTTGTCATTGCTGAATAAAGCAATAGTTTACACACCAGAAATTCTCATTCCCTTGTTTACACAGTAAAACAATTGTAGAGCTACACCAGAATTATCTCAGCAGTAGTGGCGGTCAACTGATGTATTTTAATTTGAATCCACTAGATGTTGCCAGAATACTCTGACTCGCTGCTGGGGCGTGTTTGAGCGTTGGATGGGTTTATATCACTGGCGCAAAGAGACGCACGTCACACATACCAACTGAGGTCACACATCACTCCAGAGCCAATGAAGAGGCCTGGCACGAATTCCAAAAGTAATCCCACCAAAAAGGTAAAGAGGGCGCCACACAGACAGTTTTAGGCTCAAAAGTGAGATCTTATCTAACTTGCATTAAAATGTCAAAAAAGAATTACCAGGGTATGTAAAGAGCACTATAAGAAACATATTTATGCAGTTTATCAGTTGAAAAAAAGTTGGGGTTGAGATATGGGTATTTTAGGGCTTTAGATAACAGCTCTGGTTGAAGACATTCAAGAGACTTTCCCCTCATCAGTCCTGCTGCATCACTCTGCCCCTTTATTTGAATGACACCAGAGAGTCTCTCTCTTTCTCACCACTTTCCACTTCTTCCCCTCCAGCTCGAGGACTGGAGGCAGGGCCTGAGTGGCGGCTGCAGGTTTGGGGGCCACAGCGAAGGGTTTGGGTCCTGTTCGCACCGGGCCCCCAGCCCCCCTCAGTGTCGGGTTCTTATGGGTCTTCTCCTTATCAGACACATGTTTGAGACCTGGGGACACACAGGACAAGTGTGTGAGAGAGTGACACAGACAGACAAACACACACAAGACCAGAGAGAGAGAGAGACACACACACACAAGACCAGAGAGAGAGAGCGAGAGAAAGAGACACACAAACAAGACCAGAGAGAGAGCGAGAGACACACACAAGACCAGAGAGAGAGCAAGAGACACACCACAAGACCAGAGAGAGAGCGAGAGACACACCACAAGACCAGAGAGAGAGAGAGAGAGAGAGACACCACAAGACCAGAGAGAGAGAGAGAGAGACACATCACAAGACCAGAGAAAGAGAGCGAGAGAAAGAGACACACCACAAGACCAGAGAAAGAGAGCGAGAGAAAGAGACACACAAACAAGACCAGAGAGAGAGCGAGACACACCACAAGACCAGAGAGAGAGAGCGAGAGAGACACACACAAGACCAGAGAGAGAGAGCGAGAGAGAGACACACACAAGACCAGAGAGAGAGAGCGAGAGAGAGACACACACACAAGACAAGAGAGAGAGAGCGAGAGAGAGACACACACAAGACCAGAGAGCGAGAGAGGAGACACACACACACAAGACCAGACAGAGACAGAGAGGCACACCACAAGACCAGAGAGAGAGAGAGAGCGAGAGAAAGAGACACACAAACAAGACCAGAGAGAGAGCGAGAGACACACACAAGACCAGAGAGAGCAAAAGACACACCACAAGACCAGAGAAAGAGAGCGAGAGAAAGAGACACACCACAAGACCAGAGAAAGAGAGCGAGAGAAAGAGACACACAAACAAGACCAGAGAGAGAGCGAGAGACACACCACAAGACCAGAGAAAGAGAGCGAGAGAAAGAGACACACAAACAAGACCAGAGAGAGAGAGCGAGAGAAAGAGACACACAAACAAGACCAGAGAGAGAGAGCGAGAGAAAGAGACACACACACAAGACCAGAGAGAGAGAGCGAGAGACACACACACAAGACCAGAGAGAGAGAGCGAGAGAGAGACACACACAAGACCAGAGAGAGAGAGCGAGAGAGAGACACACACAAGACCAGAGAGCGAGAGAGGAGACACACACACACAAGACCAGACAGAGACAGAGAGGCACACCACAAGACCAGAGAGAGAGAGAGAGCGAGAGAAAGAGACACACAAACAAGACCAGAGAGAGAGCGAGAGACACACACAAGACCAGAGAGAGCAAAAGACACACCACAAGACCAGAGAAAGAGAGCGAGAGAAAGAGACACACCACAAGACCAGAGAAAGAGAGCGAGAGAAAGAGACACACAAACAAGACCAGAGAGAGAGCGAGAGACACACCACAAGACCAGAGAAAGAGAGCGAGAGAAAGAGACACACAAACAAGACCAGAGAGAGAGAGCGAGAGAAAGAGACACACAAACAAGACCAGAGAGAGAGAGCGAGAGAAAGAGACACACAAACAAGACCAGAGAGAGAGAGCGAGAGACACACAAGACCAGAGAGAGAGAGCGAGAGAGAGACACACACAAGACCAGAGAGAGAGAGCGAGAGAGAGACACACACAAGACCAGAGAGAGAGAGCGAGAGAGAGACACACACACACAAGACCAGAGAGAGAGAGCGAGAGAGAGACACACACAAGACCAGAGAGAGAGAGCGAGAGAGAGACACACACAAGACCAGAGAGAGAGAGCGAGAGAGAGACACACACAAGACCAGAGAGAGAGAGCGAGAGAGAGACACACACAAGACCAGAGAGAGAGAGCGAGAGAGAGACACACACACTCCCAGTCCCACTCTGGTCTCCCAGTCCCACTCTGGTCTCCCAGTCCCACTCTGGTCTCCCAGTCCCACTCTGGTCTCCCAGTCCCACTCTGGTCTCCCAGTCCCACTCTGGTCTCCCAGTCCCACTCTGGTCTCCCAGTCCCACTCTGGTCTCCCAGTCCCACTCTGGTCTCCCACCTTTAGTGATGTCTGCTCCCTTGTTGATGGAGGCAAAGAGAGCGTTGCGGTTGTCGTTACCCGAGTCTCCTCCTCCGCTGAGGTCCAGCGCAGGAGGAGGAGGTCCAGGAGGAGGAGGAGGAGGAGGACAACCACCGGAAGGAGGAGGAGGAGCAGAGGAGCCAGAGGCCACAGGACCCTGAGAGAGAGAGGGGGGGGTGTTTAAGACTGAAGAAATATTTCACTAACACAGATACCAGTGGGAGGGACCAGAGAGAGAGAGAGAGAGAGAGAGACCAGACCAGACCAGAGAGGAATGGGCAATAATTCTGTATGTATTCTCACAGTCTTGCTCCAGAACAGGCCAGTGGTGTGGTGCTTCTTGATGTATGTCTGCATCTCTGTCCAGATGTTGAGGTAGGACTTCACCCACTCTGTGTGAGTCTTATCCCTGTGCAAGAAGAACGGGAATCAGAGACCAGAGGACCAAAAACCAGACACAAGACAGAGAGAAGAGAGGACCAGATAAGCCCGGAGAGGACCAGCTTCAGTCTGGTTCTAGCCACACTCCAAAAGAAACCTGGGAGGTCTCCCAAACAGATGAACCACCTCAGCTGGCTCCTCTCCACATGGAGACCTCTGCTACCACCTGTTGGCACCTGTACAGCCAAACCCCAGACATATGTAATACAGGGTAGGGGACACAGACTAGAGGAAAATGGTGAAAAACATTATTTTTTTCCAATTGACTTGAAAATTTGTGTTTACTTTGTCAAATAATAAAAGTGGAATATTATCTTCAGTAGAAAATATATTTCAGAAGTATGGAGCTTGTAACTGCTGCCACCAGAGGGAGCAGCGTCTGCACTCAGAGCACCCTTTGTTGCCATCAGCAGGATCAGCGTCTGTACTCAGAGCTTCGTACTTCTCTTTGTAGTCTTTGAGGACGCGGTTGGTGTAGAACATGGCGGCATCATTCATCTCTTTCACGTACGGACCAGGTTTAGGAGCCTGAAAACACACAAACAACCAGAGACCAGAGAGAGATCAGAGAGAGACCAGAGAGAGGGAGAGACTCCTTCAAGTCTGTCGGGAGCATGTTTGTCGAGTGCAGTACCACAGCGATCCAGCCGAGGGCGCCCACACTCTCGCTCACTGCAGACAGATGGTTGAAGTGATCAGATCTTCGATTTGCTTCACGGAAGTTCTGCACTTGAGTCACCACCTTAGAGACTGGCTGGAGGACAGTACCCAGGGCAGACTAAGGACCAGAGAGGAACCATGAAAGAGATCAGAGAGAGAGGCCGGAGAACCACACCAGAGAGAACAAGACCAGAGTGAGACCATAGTGTGTAAAAAATAGAATAAATGTTTATAACTGACTGAAGCTAAAACTCACATCGGCAGGTTTCTGGTGTGAGGAGGCGACGAACAGAATTTGTCTGACAGCAGAGAAACCTTCCTTCATCATGTCGGCCTGAAACCAGGAGGGAGAAACCAGGTGACTCCAGGAGACAACAGCCGAGTGTGGGTGCCTTTGACCAGGGTGTGGCCGCATTTGACCCTAGTGTGGGTGCTTACGTGCTTTTGGACGTCTCCTCCAATCTTCTGGCTTAAGGTCAGATACTGAGCCACGGCTCCGCTCACAATGGCATCGAACTCCTCCACGAACGGAGACACAGCTGAAACAACATGCCTGTCAAGACACTAAACTAGGATACAACCCTCTCTGTGGCCTCTCCCTCCCTTAAAATAGTTGTAATACTCACGTCCTCCAGTAGATGGAGCACATCCTCCAGAAACAGACATTCCCTCCAGACGTTCCACTGCGGACTCCAGACGAGCCACCAGACCGGCCAGCTCTGCCATGACTGAAGAGAGACCAAGTGATCTGTTCACATATTGCAATAGGTCATTGTGTCATCAAATTGTTGCTTGGCCTGCTGGGACCGGCAACAACCACAAGGAGTGTGGCTGCTGGAGTCGACCCCGGAAAAAGTTGCCCATGTCAAAAAGTGTAAATAAACATGTAAACATGTAAACAGTTTGTGTTGTTATATACAGATTATATTATTGATTTGTGCTCATATGTATCAAGGTTTATTACGAGAAATAGCGGGAAAAAAGCTCCAGGAAAAATATACTTTGAGTAGCCTCACAACTACTGCCCAGATGCATTCAAAGCATGGATCTATAATAATAACTGGATAGGGTATTACTAGCTTATAGCTGCCCCACCCGTGGGCACAGGGGGGTAAAAGTATCAAATAAATTAACATTATCCAGCTCTAAAATTTTAATTTTAAATGAGTAACAATCTTGACTATTTTATGCAAGAACCTCCTAGAACTAGATTGAAATTCAAACACCAAATTATACCGCAATACATACAGTTTACCGCCTGTGTCAAATTGTAACGCGATATGAATTTTAGGCCATATCGCCCACCCCTAATACTAACAAATAAAACCATTTCACAAACAGAACCAACGCACTTTCTTTAAATTGTGTCAAAAATAAAAGATACTTTTTGGTCAGAAATACACTTTAAAAATTAAATTAAAGCTACAGATATTAATGTTCAACAGTTTAGAGATATATGGCATTTCAGGTCTTCAGCTCAAGTCATTGTAAAGAGGCGAGGGAAAGAACTCAACACTAAACAATTAAAATATCCTGCTCCAAAGAACAAACAAAACAACAGGCCTCCTGCTGGGACTCTGATGAGCACAGGGACTGGCCTCCTGCTGGGACTCTGATGAGCACAGGGACTGGCCTCCTGCTGGGACTATGAGGAGCACAGGAACTGGCCTCCTGCTGGGACTATGAGGGACTGGAGGCAGTGTTGCTTCCTGAAAATGTGACACAGGCTTCTCTGACAATGTTCAAATCCAGGTTAAAAACAGTTCTGTTTCTGATAAAATTGAGGGATTGTATTGTTAATATCTGGAATGTGCTGTGATAATTTATGCTTTAATGTTTCTTGTTTTGTTCATCTCTTTGAGAACTGTGCTTTATACTATAAAACTCTGCAACATCCATCTCAAAGTGCAGCAGCAAAAACCACAGGCCTCAAGGACTGCTGGGTAAAACTGAAAAATGCAGCTCCAGGTCTGGACTTGTTTAAAGATATGTGAGCACCACAGCCTCAGTCCTGGGACTGAAAAAGGGCCGAACCCTTTTATCCAAATGTCACGAGTTCAATGCAAATATCTGCGTTTTTTTACAACTGACAGAGGGCTTGTGACCCGCGAGGATTCTGAAACCACAAGCACTCAAATCAATTCTGACTAATTCCCGAATTAATGTTTAGTTTTCTACTGTTGTATCGATAGACTTTTATACTTTTTTTTTTTAACCTTAACTATTAACTGTTACCAGTGAATACAGCGACAACAGGACCAGGACCAGTCCAGGAGCAAGACCTTTAACTGCCATAGAAGATTGATTACCAACCAAAAATTACCACATTTGAGTTTTACATTTAGTTAGAACTTCTCATATTTCAAAATTAATAGAATTTTATTAAAATAATGACATAAAAACAAACTGAACAAGGACCACCGTGAGCTCCCAGTAGAAGACAAATACAAAATCGTTGTTCTTTTAGAACAACTGATAAAAACTGATATAAAACAAGAAAAATGATCACTTGAAAGAGGCAGAAATATTCACACATACACTACAATACAACTTAATTTCACTTTATTATCCAGTTGTTTGGATATTATTTTGTGGCGAAAGCAGGAAGTGTACTAAACCTGGAATACGGAAGTAGCTTCGGCCTGGTTTGTGCTGGAGCCAACCATGGATGGAGCCAACTGTCAAACACCAACAATACTTTCCACTTTGCCACTCAATAAACACACACTACATACACTTAATACAAAATAAACCGTAACCGCGTCTTTTAAACTTGTTAAAAACACCCAAGCAGCGGTACATCCAGTTCAGAGGACAGGAGCTAAAGCGATTACCCGACTGGCAGTCTATTCTGTCGGCCACTGCTAGCTAGCCGGTATACAGTGTAACGCTGCATTTTGCATCCTCAACAAGCTTTGCGCTACCTTGATAAATTCGTGTTTTATACGCGTAATAAAAACCATAATCAAGTTTACTGTGTATAGAATAAGTTAAAACCACAGCAAAAACGATATTATTTATGTTAATTAATCGGACATCGCCTTCGTTGCCAGAACACAATGGGATGCAAAGCGAGTCAATACACCTACGCGGTAACAGCAGCTAAATTGAGGCTTACTCGATTTTAATCAGCTCATTAATGGTCTAGACTGTGTTTTAAGACACTTTACACGCTCTGTGTTTCTCTGCAATAGTATTACATTTCCTCTCGTGTGCATTTCCTGGTTTTGCCATAACACGCCCTCTTCTTTCAATGTGTTACCAAATATAGCATGAGAGAAGTCTGCAGAAAAGCCAACATTGTGTACGTTTGCACAGTTAATCACGTAATACACTGTTGTGTAGCATGCTGTGGGGTTCAATCTAATGCAAAAGGCGGTGACTATAATAAACACAGCGCGTAAAGCGTAGTCACAGATGCGCTGGTTTGGCTGTGGCGTTCGCCTCATTGCTACATTTGTGCGTAAATGTATGCTGTCTGTCCACATTCCATTATCCAGTGTGTGTTTCTTACCTGCTAAATGTCCTGCAGTGATTTGGTCCTTCAAGCCGTGAGCGGTGCGTGGAGCAGAGACAGACAGACCTCTCTTCCTGGTCCTGGCTCGGGGTCCGCCCTTGTGCGCGCGGCAGAGTGCTTTGCCATATAAGGGCAGCGGAGAGAGGGGGAAAAATGGAACTTGACTTTTTTAGCTTGTTTTGACTTCCCCCTTTATCCAAACGCAACAAACCAAAGACATGGTGACTCCAGGCTGGCCCAAACTGGTTTATAACCAGCTTTTCTGTTCTGTGGAGGGGAATAGCGGTGTAAAAATACAAGACGGTCTCTCTCTGGCCTGTCTGGTCTCTCTCTCTCTCTGGGCTATCTTTGCTCTCTCTCTCTCTGGTCTCTCCCTGGTCTCTCTCTGGTCTCTCCCTGGTCCCTCTCTGGTCTCTCTCTCTCTAGTCTTTTTCTGGTCCTTTCCGAGTGGACTTTCTATCCTGTATCCAGGTGGGTTTCCATTAGGTACTCAGGTTTCCCCACCTTCCAATCCTCCTGATCTGGTCCTGACCATCAACCACCAAGACCATCAACATCTGGCTCTTAAGACCAATGGTGTCTGAAGAGAATAGGGCTAACAGTGTTTCATAGTGTTGAGATTAGGACTGATGGTGTTTGGAGAGAATAGGACTGATGGTGTTTGAAGGTGCCTGAAGAGAATAGGCTGCAAACTCGTCCACGAGCCGTATACGAACAACAGGACACAGTGTGGAGTCAACTACTTTACTCAGACCTGTGACAGACCAAAAATATACATTTTTAGTCACAGCAGACACACTGGGGGAGGGGAGCAAATAATGATATTGTAATAGGATTTTCAAATGTTGACAGTAATTTTACATGAACAATGTAATAACAATAAAATAAATATACTTTGGAGGTAGTGGAGTAATCAATTGGAGTACAAATGCACAAATAAAAAAAAAATCACATAAAAAGAAATTAATCATACCTGACAGACCAAAAATGTAAATTTTTAGTCACAGCCATAGACTGTATACGTCACAGCGGACACACTGGCTTCCCCTACGGGATGAAAACGCTAAATAAAAAGTACAGAAAACCTAAAAATGTGCGCTAGAAAATGTGCAAAAGTACGTTCATTGCATGCTAATACATTTCCTACTAAACATATCTTAGTGAATATTGCGGAAAATAAAGCTAAATGATTGTGCATTTCTATATCCGTTACATCGAGGATGTTTGGAGAGAATAGGACTGATGATATTTGAAGATAATCGGATTGATGGTGTTTGGTGCTGTCTGAAGAGAATCGGACTGATGGTGTCTGGAGAGAACAGGACTGATGAGGTTTGATGGTGTCTGGAGAGAACAGGACTGATGGTGTTTGATGGTGTCTGAAGAGAATAGGACTGATGAGGTTTGATGGTGTCTGGAGAGAACCGGACTGATGAGGTTTGATGGTGTCTGGAGAGAATAGGACTGATGAGGTTTGATGGTGTCTGAAGAGAATAGGACTGATGAGGTTTGATGGTGTCTGGAGAGAATCGGACTGATGGTGTTTGATGATGTCTGGTAAGTTTAGGACAGATGTAGCCTGGTTGTACCACACCTTAGTACAAATTACATGCAGTGAAATGATGATTGAGCGGAGTGTACGGATGGCTATGGCCAGGCTAGGTATCCGGAGAGAAAGTTAAAGTTCAACATCAGAAAGCCTATGTTTTAGCACATTGTTATTTGTTTTTTATAGTTATTTTTCACGTATCTTGTGCTGTGTACTCCTCATTGCTACTGTTCTGTAACCGGTGATGCAACACTGACATTTCTCTTCATCTTCATCTTCATGGTATTTACCCACAGTTCACTGGGACGAAGACTCCTGAACATGTTTTTTATGTTCTGTGCTCTGAGATGCTTTACCCGATTTATTTTCTAATGAGTTCATTAAAATGCTTATTACTACATACAAGTTGTATTATAATCCGTAATTTAATTGAAAACATGAGCTCATTTATTCACCTTGTGAATGAATTCAGGCCGTATAAGGGCAAAGGTTTTTACAAGCGAACTGGGCCAAGTGGGCCGGATCGTTGCCACGGGGGTGTGAAAATGGCCCGCTGTCACATGAACGTGTATTGACAAACGTGCCAGAGTAACTAAGCTGTAGTACAACACTCGGTCCAGCTGATGGCGCTAATACTAACTTCAGCTACGACCTCGTTGTCCTGGGGTCGGCACTAGATCATATACGGAATCGGGACGAAACCGGAAGTAACAATCCTACTTTCGAATTAGTTTTAGACTAAAAAGTCCTTAAGTGGTGACTGGTTAAGTTTTAGGCGTCTGAGTAAGATGGTTAAGGTTAGGGTTAAGGGTGGGTTGGGGTTATTTTATGGGAATGGCTGGTTAAGTTTAGGCATTAATAGGTAATTTGTAATATTTACTTCCGTTTCCGTCCCGATTCCGTATATGATCTAGTGCTGACCGTTGTCCTGGTTGAGTTTCAGTTTCTCTTCCTGTTTACCTCTGCTACTGTAGCTAACAGCAGTACGGATCTCCTTGTTTAGGGAAAGACAAATCTCACACTTGTTCACATTGCTCTGATGCAAAGTGCAGCAGTTCAGTGGGCAACATGTGTGTGTGTGTGTGCGCGCGCCAGGGAAACGAGTGCACACACACACTCTCTTTAGTAACGCTGGGAAATGAATGAATGAGAATGAAAGAATGAAAAGTGTGGAGTACGAGCAGAGCGACCGGTGCCATGCTAGATACAAGTGTGTGTTGGTGTATTCTGGCGATTAAATAAAGACTGATTCTTGAATGTCTGAAGTATTATTGCAATCACTGTGAGAGCGAGGGTCAGGGTTATTCCCATAGGAAACGATTCCCTTTGGCCCTGCAGCGACACCCCCCCTGCGCCCCTCGACCACGGTCCGGGGCTTATATGAAAGGTTTAACACAAGCGGAGAATGCAAAAGTGCATGGAGAGCGTGTGAAAATGCCTGTCACAACGGAAGACGTAATGTGACGCACGATATCAAGTCCCCACCACACCTCATCCCCCACTCCCCACCACCCGCCACACTGACCCCCCCCATCCGCACTGCAAAGTGTGCTCTGGCCCAAGTCTTGAACCGGGCTTGAGCATGATTGCAGGAATCGTTCACAAGCCCACATGCCGCGGTCACATGGGACCTAAAGCTCATAACTAATCACGAAGTGGGCCCTGGCCCACTTAAACCAGGCTTTAGGCTGCGCATGTGAACGCAACCTAAAAGTGCTGAGTAGAGACTTAGCGTGACGCCCGCTCTCCTCCACTCACAGAACGAGGCTGCGTCCTCTAGCCTCTACTGCGCTGCTAACCACTGTAGCATGTTAGCAGAATTGGCTATAACTCCGCCGCTGGCTGTAACTGCAGACACAGCAAAACAGCCTAAATGACACAACAGTGAGGAAGAGAAGAGGGAACTAAAGCGAACAAATGATCAAAGAAGAAATCAAGCCCGGGTGAACATAACTAGCTTACATCATATCCTCTGGAGAGACCTGCGGGACTGGCTCGGACTATCTCTGCTCGGACTACATTTGGATGTGAAACTAATGGTAATCTTTCAGTTATATATTTTGTTAGCAGTGCGTTGCTTTTGTACCATTTCATCACTGATTGTTGTAAAGCTTAAGTTGCGCTAATGCTAATGTTAGCATATGTATCAGATTGCACATAACTAGATGGCTCCGTGGAATGAGAGCACAGGGGAAATGAGAAAGAGCATAGGGGAAATGAGAAGCCTTTGAGCGACTTGGGGGGTTGTGCTAAACATTCAAACCTTGCAGAAACTAGTATTGACCCCTTGCATGTGACGTCCCGGCCACGCCCACTCTCCATGACAGACGGCAGAAGTCTAACTGCGAACCTACGGACACCTGACCAAAACAACCAGTTTCAGCGCATTACAGCCAAAACTGACATTTTGCAGTGCGGTTGATTATACTAACAGGCAAGGACATAAGCTTTTTTATCTGATACCTGCTCGTCATGAAGACAGAAGACGACGATGGCCAGCGGCAATCAACCAAAAGGACTGGGACCCATCCGAGTACTCCCAAGTACTCAGTTTTTAAGAGTTGTGTCCGTTTTGCTCTCGCAAAAAAGTTTCCAATACTTCCGCCGTAAGCTCATTCACAATCACGTGACTGGATGACGTTGATGCATCTGGTCAATAGCTCCTTTAAGGTGAGGACTGTGGTGAGTACTGTGAGGACTGTAGTGAGAACTCTACTGAGGACGGTGGTGAGGACTGTAGTGAGGTCTCTAGTGAGGATGGTGTTTAGGACTATAGCAGGGGTGGACTGGCCATCGGGCGTACCGGGCAATGCCCGAAGGGCCTATGCCCATATTTGGGCCGGCCTGTGAGCCTCGTACAAAAATATATTTTTGAGAATTTTTTTAATCTGTTAAGAAATGTTCGAGGGGGGGCGCGCATGATCACGAGGCACTTGCTGTTGATTGCTGTATGAACTCGAACGGGATTCCACATCCTCCGCAGCCTTTTGCAGCAGCTGCAACCGCTTTGGACAGCGGTTCCCGCGTCCAGCGGCTGCCTGTGAGCCGTTTTGACAACAACACGGCAGCCGTTACGTGGCCGTATTCAAATGAATGGCTTGTGCTCAGTAGCGCATGGGACTTCATGGGGACCGAAAGATTAGCGGAACTCGCCTATATTTGGGCCTCGTCTGGTCCTCCCGGTTCTGCGCAGTGGACGAGCTCCCATGATGCATTGCGCAAAATACGCGTGTGAGGCTCTCATGCGAAGTGGGCCCTGGCATGAGAGCCAGCCATTGGTCAAAGCACAGAGGGGCTCGCCCGCGCTTTGACCAATCAGCGCTGCTGATCAGAGCAGAGCGGAGTCAGAGCGGGAAGAAAAGGAGTAGAGTTTGCGGCAGTAAAGTGTGGATTTAAAGAAAACCAAAGAATTTAAGAAGAAAACATTTCAGGATGACAAGGGACACTAAATCCCCACAAAATCTGATCTTTATAAAAGCTGTAGGTTCTCCGTCAGCTGAGCTTTTTTCTGGGTAGCCCACGTAAATTTAGTTTGCAGTACCACGGGTGCCCCCTGTGCCCATGGGAGGGACAGCTATAAGCTAGTAATACCCTATCCAGTTATTATAATAGATCCATGCCAAGACCATATACTGTACACCCACAGGACCATACAGAACTTGTTGTGTGCGTGTCTTTGTGTAACCAGTTCACGCAATAAATATAGCGCTGCAAGAAACAGTCCGTGTCTTCCTTGTGTCTCTTCCCAAAATGCAACTAAACTCCCTAAATTAAAGCTGGGGTACGTAAATTTTCCTCTTGCATTAACAGTTCATGATGGTTGTACCCAAAAGTAGAATTCTTTAAAATGTCCCGTTCTCATCCCTGTAACAAACAATATGGTGCTATGTCTGTCTCCCTCACTCTGTAGTGACATGTTTATTAATCTCAATGACATTGAATGTAGATCATGCACTTTATTATAATTGTTGAAACTGCATTTATCCTGAGAAACGGCCCAGGCTGTCAAGGAGATAATAATGCCCGGGCCGTTTTTTGGTCCCAGTCCAGCCCTGGACTGTAGTGAAGACTGGACTGGAAGTGAGGACTGGTGATTACACTACCTCTCATAACAACCACTACTGACGACTACAGAAAACACATTTTTCATGATCCAGAACCAGGCATCCATTGTGAGCATGGTCAGAGGTTCAGTGTCAGTCCAGATGGTGTGAGTTGGATCAGGGTGTTGTGGTGGACAACAGTGCTTGTGAACCGTTGCTCCGTTGCAGAGTGTAGGTGACAGAGGTGTGAGGTCAACAGTCCTGTGAATGTGGGCCAGTGAAGTGCTGTTCGGCAGTCGTGAAGATAGATGTTCCGATGAAGACTGTGTAGCGGGCCATTGCAGTGATGAGTCGTACCAGATTGATGTTGGTGGTGGCTCCAGAACGACCTCCGATGGGTCCAAAGTGGAGGAGCCAGGTGTTGTCCCACCCTGCACAGGACTGTAGAGGAGCTGAGGAGCTCTCTCAGTGGAAGACTGAGGCACCCTCAGTGCAAGAAGGAGCACTACCGCAGGGCCTTTATCCCCACTGCTGTCAGACTGTACAGCGGTCTGACAGAGTCAAATAGTGACTCAAAAGGCTCTGAATGCAACATTTACAATTGGAGTGACGTCCGGTCAGTTAAGACAGGTGATCAATCATGGAAAGAAAAAAGTAAACAATAATACTTGGTCTGTATATCAAGTGATTTGTGCTATTGTATTATTTTAATGTAACTTTGCTTTATTTCATATACTTTTACCTAAAAATTGCAGATTTTTGTCATATTCTTTTCATATTTGTGTGAGGCAAGCCTCTCTTGGTAGATGTAAAAGCCTGTGCAGTGCTATCGAAGTGTTTTCTCTGGTTTTGACGTTTACATAATTATATATTTACTTTACAATCAACATGTGCATCACCAAGCTCACCGCACGTCACTGCACAAATGTATGAGATGAAGACGGTGAAGAAGTGATGTACCCCAGCTTTAATGTACTGAGTTATAAGGCGCTTCAGGAGGAGACACAGGGAGAACACGGGAACCTACAGAGGCACCAAAATCCTAGTCTGTTCACCTAGTCTGACCTGCTGTCAGACTGTACAACAAACAATAAGGACTAATGAACACTGCCAACCTGATCTCAGGTGTCATGCATCGTTGCAAAATACTTAACTTATATCAGAATGTGCAATAACCAAAAGTCACTGTCACTTTACTGAGTCACTGTGTCCCAGAGGCTCATGCTGCTAATGTACAGATGTAAACATACTGCTGCTAACATGTACAGATGGAAACATACTGCTGCTAACATGTATAGATGGAAACATACTGATGCTAACATGTATAGATGGAAACATACTGATGCTAACATGTATAGATTGAAACATACTGATGCTAACATGTATAGATGCACATATAAGTACACATTGTTTGTACTAGATTACACAGTACTTTAAACTTGCCTCTTATTTTGCCAAATGTACAACTTTATACTCTTTATTATTATCATGTTCAAGAAAGATATTTTATACTTGTCGTTTGATGCTAGTTAGAAATGTTGTTTTATTTTAATAGCTATTGTTCACTTATCTTGTGCTGTGTGCTCCTCATTCCTACTGTTCTATAACTTGTTATGTAACAGTGAAAATTTCCCCACTGTGGGACGAATAAAGGATCTCCTAATCTTAATCTTACAATGATAAAACTGTCAAAGAGAAATTCTCCAGTCTGAGCTGACATGTGTGTCAGAAAGGATTCCTCAGAACTGTGTGAAAGTGATGCGTGTTGTTTGGACACGTGTCGACTTTTCACCACAGAAAAAACAGGAACAATTCAAACTAAAAGACTATGTTTTCCTACATCTTGAAGCCTCAGTCCTGGGTCTACAGCCTAAGTTCTGTGTCTGAATGGTTTGATGAATGTTGTTTAGATAATTTGAATTGAATTACTTAAAAAGCCTTGGTTCAAAAACCCTTTATTTGTCTGGCTCCAGTTCCAGCTTCAGCAGCATTACACATGTTTGAGACGTTTCCAGTGAACGTCGACTTAAGATAATAAAAACTATGGCACATTTTCCCATTAGTGAAATAAATGTGAGATCCTTCAGAGATGAGGATCATCAGGATTAACTGATGATCAGGTGCAGCTAAGGACCGTTCCACAGCAGCAGATGAGGTCCTGACCACACCCTTCATTTCCGGTTTAACAAAGTCTAAAAATGTGAATTTAAACATTAAAAGGGGATTTCTCTCTAGTCTCTCTCTGGTCTCTGGATCATCTGTCCAGACCTCAGTGAAGACAAGTGGTAAAAAGAACAAAAGACTGTCTAAGTTAAATGAAAAATAGATAAAAATAGCCAATGGCTAATGCTAAGTGGAGGAGTTTAAACAGAGTCCTGACTCCAGTTTTAGCTTCAATAAAATGTTCTGAATCTGCAGTCGATCCTATGTATCAAGTGTTCTTCTCCTGAGGGCTGAGACTCGGACTGAGACTCTGGGACCCAGCCTGTCCCCCGCTGTGGGGCTATAGCAATTGGTCCCGGGTCTTCCCTCGTGGGAGGCCCTTGCCATTCCTCAAGGACCCGTTCTGGGGCCGCAGCAGTTTCCCTCGCTCCTGCTCTGCTCCAGGCCAGGGCTCTGCGTCAGAGTCTAAGTCCGAGTCCGAGGGCATGAGAGCGGGAGAGGAGGGACCAGGGACCTTCTGACGAGCTGGAAGACAGAGGACATGAGACCAGAGAGAGACCATGGAGAGACCAGAGATAGAGGCCAGAGAGAGACTGTCTTGCCTGGTCTGGGCGGACGCAGCTCCAAACTGTTGTGTTCTTCCTCTTCTAACATTTTATATCGACTTTTACTTCTGCGCACTTTGCTTTTCCTCCTGTGAATCAGACAAAACAAAGCTCAAAGGAAGACCAGAGAGAGACCAGAGAGATTCTAAGCTTTTCTTAGTTTTGGTCCATTTCTGGTTCACTTCATACATGCCCAGCACTGCAATTTTTTAAGAAAAGTCACAAAATTGAAAAACAGTTATGGTCCCTGACTCTGCTGGTCCCTGACTCTGCTGGTCCCTGACTCTGCTGGTCCCTGACTCTGCTGGTCCCTGACTCTGCTGGTCCCTGACTCTGCTGGTCCCTGACTCTGCTGGTCCCTGACTCTGCTGGTCCCTGACTCTGCTGGTCCCTGACTCTGCTGGTCCCTGACTCTGCTGGTCCCTGACTCTGCTGGTCCCTGACTCTGCTGGTCCCTGACTCTGCTGGTCCCTGACTCTGCTGGTCCCTGACTCTGCTGGTCCCTGACTCTGCTGGTCCCTGACTCTGCTGGTCCCTGACTCTGCTGGTCCCTGACTCTGCTGGTCCCTGACTCTGCTGGTCCCTGACTCTGCTGGTCCCTGACTCTGCTGGTCCCTGACTCTGCTGGTCCCTGACTCTGCTGGTCCCTGACTCTGCTGGTCCCTGACTGCTGTTTCGTGTCTCTGCTGGTTAGGGTTGGGACAATTTATTTTGATATTTTTTGATTATTATTTGGATATAAAAAAATAAAGATAATCAAACTGGCCTTATTCTTTGAATATTATACTGGCATGGTGCTAACATGGTTAGGCCAGCGGCTTTTTGTGTAAAGTTCTTCTCCACAAATGCAGCTCGTCTATGGCAGCGTCTCTGAGTTCTGCTGCCAGAGACTTCAGTATGTGTTCACATACTGCACCATGGGTTTATTTTATTAATAACCAGTACTTCTATATCGGTGAACGCGTTAGCTGCACTTGTTTACACTCACAGGAGAATGAGAACTCAGGCTGGTAGCATAAGTTTACAAACATTCCCCCATTGTCAGTCCTGGTTTAATCCTGGTTTAGCTCCTGTTTTGGCTGTTTTCGACCTGTTTTAGTGCTCCTGCTCTGACCGGCATGTAACACATGACCACTTTGCGGCTCTCTGATTGGCACGTGCGGCCACTCTTACAAGCATTTATTGGTCAAAAAAATACTTCAAATATATTCAAATTGTATTCATAATAAAACATAACATTTGAACATGGTTTTTTCAGTTTAAGTCCCAGCCTATACTGTTGGTTATGATGCACCTGTTGCAGCAGCAGAACAGGCCCCAGCCCATGGTGCCCAGTCCCACCAGAACCATGAAGGAGGCAATGGTCACGTACAGGACGCTCCAGTCTGAAACAAGACACAAGACCAGTTTTTGAGAAGGTCTCCAACAGGTTCTCAACCTGGTCCAAGGTCCACCTTGTGCACCAGACAAGAACAAATCTCACCTGGAGGCCTTCATACATGTTCAGGGACACATACAGAATATGTGTCATGTGACTGTTATAGACACATACATGTGTCATGTGACTGTTATAGACACAAATGTGTCATGTGACTGTTATAGACACATATATGTGTCATGTGGCGGTCATGTGACCTATCGTACCGCAGTTGCTCTCCTCGTCTCCAAACTTTGTCCTGATGAAGTTCTCCATCCAGAATGGACGGCACACGCAGCGGCGCGAGAAAGAGTCGCAGTCTCCGTGACCCGAGCAGTTCAGCTGGCAGACTGCAGGGGAAGACAGGGGAGACAGGGGAGACAGGGGAGACGGCGGGGGCACAGGATGAACACAGAAGGAGACACAGGAAGATGCAGGGGGCGCAACCGGGGGAGACAAGGGGACATGGGGGAGACATAGGAGGAGATATAGAGTTGTAAAAGAAGAAGCGATGCTCATGTACTGAACATGAACTAAAGACCAAAACACATCTGTCTATATCTCTGCACTGAACTGAGGTTGCTGTTCCTCTATGATGTCAGCTTGTTGTGACTATGATGTCAGCTTGTTGTGACTTTGATGTCAGCTTGTTGTGACTTTGATGTCAGCTTGTTGTGACTTTGATGTCAGCTTGTTGTGACTTTGATGTCAGCTTGTTGTGACTATGATGTCAGCTTGTTGTGACTTTGATGTCAGCTTGTTGTGACTATGATGTCAGCTTGTTGTGACTTTGATGTCAGCTTGTTGTGACTATGATGTCAGCTTGTTGTGACTATGATGTCAGCTTGTTGTGACTCTATGATTCTGACTGTTGTGACTCTAATCTGTTATATTTGATTCATGTAAGTGATGCTAATAATGTAAGTAATGCTATTCAGAGAATAATAAAGCATTTTTTGCACTACCTTCTAAGTTTAACTTCAGTTCATGTGCAGACCATAATAAATGTGACAGAAGACAAGGGTCTTATCTTCCTCCATGTTTGTAATGTCTTTGAATAATATGAGGGACATGAATGGCAATATAACACAGAATCGATCCAAGCAATGCTGTCTGTATTGCAATATGTTAAAGTTTGCAATACTATCAAACTTTGGCCCAAATATTGCAATACTATCGAATCCTCAAATTGTTGCCAGTTCCCAGCCCTTGTAAAGACCCAAAACCAGCCCCAGCAGTGACTCACTGACGGTGTCGACTCGTCGTGGTTTGAAGATGAGGAAGTCGTTCTTCTGTTTCCTCAGTTTGGTCCTAAGCCCCAGAGCAACACTGTGGCCAGCCAGAGGGGGGCGCCCTGGGCCTCCAGACACCACGAAGACCAAGCGTGTGCTGAGAAGGGAGAGAGGGGTGAGAGCAATCCAAGATGGCGTCCCATTCAAATGAAAAGGCTTGTGCTCTGTAGCGCATTGGACCTACATGGAGACCGAAAGATTAGCGGAACACGCAAAATTCGCGTGTGTGGCTCTCATGCACGTGCACAGAGGGGCTAGGCCGCGCTCTGACCAATCAGCGCTGCTGATCAGAGCAGCGGTAGAGCGGAGCCAGAGCGGGAAGGAAACGAGCAGAGTTTGTGGCACTAAAGTGTGCATTTAAAGAAAACCGAAGGATTTAAGAAGGAAAAAAGTTCAGGATGACAAGGGACACTAAAATTCCCACAAAATCCGATATTTATGAAAGCTGTAGGTTCTCTGTCAGCGCAGGTCAAGCTGTTTTTATTTAAACAAAACAACATGAACATACATACATGGGGGGAAAGGGGTGGGGGGGGCTTCCGTGTGTGTGTGTGTTGTTTATTATTTACTCTTTTTTTTTTGTTGCATTGATTGAATATCCAAGCATATTGATGGGAATTGGTGGTATGGTGTAAGTTACCCGAGATGAGAATGGCAAAATAACAATGACAACAACAAAAAAAGAAGAAAATAACAACAATAGCGACAATGGTGATGAGGATGACGATAAAAATTACGACAATACTAGCGTCCTTAACAGTAGCATTACTATTGGCACTCTTCCGACAGCATTCCTCAATAGTTTGTCCATGATTATGTGGTGCATTAAAAACCTGCATGAGGTGTTGTGCATTAAAAAGGCATATGCCTGAGATGCATGTGGGAAGAGAGTTAATACAATTCTTAAAATAGTACTAAATACTATTTTAATATTCTTATTTATTATTATTGCTTCCTCACATCACCATTCCCTATTGCTTATTCTATATCATCAAATATGATATAACATGTATATATAAATACTAATTATATAATATAATAATATAATTTGTAATATTAACAGTTAAACAGAAAATATACAAAAAGAACAACAAGTGAGCAAAAAAAAGAAATAATAACAATAATAATCCAGTCAGGCTACGAATAAAGCAATAATAATAATAATAATAATAATAATAATAATAATAAGAAGAAGAAGAAAGCGACATTAACATTATAATAAAATAAAAAGAGTATTTATAATAATAAAAATAATAATAATAACAATTCAAATTATCGTAACAATAATAATAACAATAACAATGCAATTAGTTAATTTGTAAGAACATTTATGAGTTTGTTCCAGTTGCTGGGTGTTTCGGTATTTCTGTGATTGGTTTTATTTTAAAACATTGAGCTGTTTAATTTTACATTGAGTTCTATGGGACATTTTTCTGGGTAGCTATAAGCTAGTAATACCCTATCCAGATATTATTATAGATCCATGGGTGAGAGAGGGAGACCAGAGAGACCAGAAAGACCAGGTGAGGGAGGGATACCCTGCTTCCTGAGCCCTGGTCTCTGTTTCATTCTGTCTAACGACCTGAAATGGGACAAAAACACAAACGTGATTCTGCTTAACTTTTATCGCTGCGCCATTGAAAGTTTACTTGTTGGTTCTTGTGTGGTTTGGTGACATCACAGACTCTCTGAACAAGGTGCTCCGCTCTGCAAAGAGGACTGTGGGCTGTGAGCTGCCTGTTCTGGAGGTTCTTTACAAACCTAGACTTTTAAAACAAGCTCTAGAATAATCAATGACTCTTCTGGCCCCTGGTAAAGCGATGTTCCAGCTTCTTCCCTCGGGCAGAAGATATTGTTCACTGAGATGCAGGACATCTCGATATGCTAAAAGCTTTTTTCCACAAGCTGATATAAGTTCAAACAGATCACTTTAATGATCTTGCCTTTGTATTGAAACTGTTTTAGTCGATCGATTTGTTTAATGTTTTGTTTGTTTTATTTCTGTACTTTTAACCTTGTTTTATTTATGTACTTGTCTTGTGCACACTGGGGGCTTTTGAAAATGTATTCCAATGTGGTTTTCAATGTGGTTACTGAAAAGAAATGAATCTGAATCTGGTGTCTCTCTGGTTCGGACCCTGCTTCCTCCACACACCTGAGCTCATTGAAGGCGCTGATACTGTGGACGATGATGTCACTGTCCAGGACCCCCAGCAGGACGCCGACCTGCCGCAGCAGCATGTCCCTCTGTCTTTGAGACACCGAGGACACGGGGACCTCCAGGACCAGCTCCACCTGGTCCCTCTCAAACTGGTCTGTAGGAGAGAGACAGGGTCAGAGAGACCAGAGTGGAAGGGGGAGGTGATGGGGGATCTGAGGGTGAGGCAGGGGGAGGTGAGGGTGAGGTGATGGGGGAGCTGAGGGTGAGGCAGGGGGAGGTAATGGGGGAGCTGTAGATGAGACCTGGCCGGACGTCCACGTGCCCCTGGGTCTTGCTGCTCTGTCCCTTGGAGTCGGTCACAGTCAGAGTGAAGCTGTACGTGCCCTGGACCAGGTTTCCGAGGAACAGCACCCCCTGGTGGTCAGAGCCGTTCAGCACGTCCTGCGACAAAACTTTAGCCTCAAATTACACATGTTGAAAGCTGGGGTCTGTAAGTAATGTTTATTTATATGGCGCATTTTACAGACCAAGGTCACTCACTCACTCACTACATTCAGACCTATTGTACATGTTTTTAGTGGTAGGGGAAACTGGAGCACCTGGAGGAAACCTACGGAGGCACAGGGAGAACATGTTAACTCCACTCAGAAAGGCCCTGTTTCAAACGGGATTTGAACCCAGGACCTTCTTGCTTAGACGTAACTTTAGTCTCATAAATAACCAGTGATGAGAATAACAGCGCTGAACGACGTTACTTTTTTCAGTAATAAGTAATCCATGTAATTACTTTGGTTGTAACTATAACGCCATTATCATCGCCGACACCCCGTTACTGCACAATTATTATTTTTTACTTCATGATAGGACTAATGCGCACGTTGACATGAGAGAAGGGAGGATGAGAAAACCTCTCCGCAAATATTCACTGATGTAAAACATTTCCTTTACAATCTACATGTCTACAGTTGAGAGGATGTGTCATATATTGCGTTCTTGACAACAAATATAGGTCTTAATCGCGCTCAACCACAGCTTGTAATGTCACCAAGTGAGGCCAGCCTCAGGGAATTCGGCTGCATCCGACTCCATCAGAAAGCTCCTTTCTTGTTCTTCATCTGCTAAGTGCAGCAACAGGTTTAGCTAACATACATATAACACATTTTAAGATAATTTAAAATGCACTTAGGGTAATGTTCCAATGACGATAGGAATGATGAGAAAGAGAGGTGAAGGGTAAGAAGGTTGATTTTAGAAATTGGATGCACCCGAGATTCGCCTGCAGCGAAACCCGTTTTGTTTTACTTTTTACAACTCATTGGACTTATTTCCAAATGGAGGATTACATCTCTACGCTCAAACTATTATCTAGACTTAAACATGAAGCTGGTCTGAACTGAAGTGGTCTGTGCAGTTTATGTTTAAGGTAAGGCCCATAACACACTTTAAAAATTATTTTTTAAACTTTTGTGTTTTTTATGAGCAAACAATGCGGGCATGAAACATATTCTGCTGTAGCCAAACAAATTGTGAATATGCCGCTCTGTAGGTTCTGTTGATTTATATGATATATACGTACATCTGATTGGGCTGAAGTCAGAGCCTCACCAATCACCAACCTCACCGCACGTCACTGGTGTGTGTTTAGTGCTTACAGCACAGAGATATTGAGAGTGAGGACGACTCCAGCAGCAAAACAGCCTTTTCCAGATGGAAATATCAGCACTATTTCAAACTCACTGAAGTAAAAGGTAAAAATGTGCACGTCGAGTGCACATTATGTTCCAGAACAAAACGAAAAAGTAATGCAATAGTTACTTTTATAGTGGAGTAACTCAGTTACTTTTTGGGAAAAGTAACTTTTAACTATAAGTAATTACTTTTTCAAAGTAACATGCCCAACACTGTAAATAACACATGTTTAAAACTGGGGTCAGTAACTTTAGTCTTATAAATAACATATGTTTAAAGCTGGGCTCTGTAACTTTAGTCTCACATTATCAATGTGAGAACTGTAATGTAAGACATTCATAAAAACCTGATCATATTTGACTCTGTTCAAAGGTCAGTAACGTTACACTGTATTTTAACCTGGAATTAAATCGTGTGTTTTACATTATTTATTACGTTTTTTAAGTAGCTTGCCCAACGCTGCAAACATATACTAGCTCCTCCTCCCTCCCTCCCTCCTGACCCTGCTCTCTCCTCTCCCCTCCTCAACCCTCCCTCCACCCTCCATCCCCCTCCCTCTCTCTCCTCACACCTCCTCCTCTCCACTTCCCCTTCCCTCACATCCCCTCCCCGCCTAATCTCCCCTCCTCACCCCTGCAGCTGGACTGCTGTCGTCTCTGCTCCACATGAAGCTGACAGATCCTTTGTCGTCACTAGACAGAGATCCGTCTAAAAAAGCTGTGGAGTCAGGAAGAAGAATCGGAGAACTGGGTCTGATGTGGGCCTGAGGAGGGAGATCCAACTCTGAGAGAGAGAGAGAGACACACAACATTAAACACACACACACACACATACAACACCAGCTCAGAGAGAGAGAGAGACACAAACACTCTTTCTGGTGTATTGTCCTCTCTCCTGTCCTCTCTGCTGTCCTCTCTGCTGTCCTCTCTGCTGTCCTCTCTGCTGTCCTCTCTGCTGTCCTCTCTGCTGTCCTCTCTGCTGTCCTCTCTGGTGTCCTCTCTGGTGTCTTACCCTCTCTGGTGTCTTACCCTCTCTGGTGTCTTACCCTCTCTGGTGTCTTACCCTCTCTGGTGTCTTACCCTCTCTGGTGTCTTACCCTCTCTGGTGTCTTACCCTCTCTGGTGTCTTACCCTCTCTGGTGTCTTACCCTCTCTGGTGTCTTACCCTCTCTGGTGTCTTACCCTCTCTGACGATAACGCGAACTCGGGCGCTGCTCTGTAGTTGCCGCTCGTCACTCACGGTCAGAGTGAACTCGTACTCTCCGGGCTCCAGACCCGTCACCGTGGCAACGGCCAAGTTGGCGTTCTCAATCCGCACGCCTTCCGGACCCCTGCGAAGAGAGAGCAGACCACTCAGCAGGAAGTAGCCAGAACTGCAGCCTCAGGAAGAACGGGCCAGAACTGCATCCCCTCTTTCTGCTGAATGTTCTGTGGTTGGAGCCTCTACTCCTCCACCCTCTCCCCACATGCCTCAGGAGTCCCCCTTCTCCTCCGTCAGGACTCCCCCCGCCCCCCTTCCTCAGGACTCACCCCCTCTCAACCTCTCCCTCAGGACTCCCTTGTCCCCCTTCCCTCGGGACTCCCCCCTCTCTCTCAGGACTTACCACTCCCCCTGAAGACTCCCTCGTCTCCCCCACCCTCAAGATTCACCCCCTCTCGACCCCTCCCTCAGGACTCCCTTATCCCCCCTCTCCCTCAGGACTTCCCCTCTTCCCCCTCCCTCAGGACTCACCCCTCTCCCTCAGGACTTCCCCTCTTCCCCCTCCCTCAGGACTCACCCGCTTTGCCTCCACTGGTAAGAGGAGATCATCTGGTCGTCGTGGCTCTTGCTTCCGTCCAGAGTTGTTCTGTCAACAGGAAACGTCAGCTCCTTCTCTGGTCCTGCGTCTGCAACTGGTGCTTTGTTGTTCTCTGAGGAGACAGGTGGGGAGAGGGTGGAGGACCAATCAGAGGGAAGGAGGAGGAGAGATTGACCAATCAGGGAGAATCTGGAGAGTCGGACCAATCAGAGCTTTCTGTGGACAGCAGCTTTATACCGACTGTGTCAACAGCACTTACGAGGGTCGCTAGTTAGCATTGACATAGCTGCTAACAGGGCTGGACTGGCCATCGGGTCACCGGGCAATGCCCGAAGGGCCGATGCCCATATCTGGGCCGGTCTGCCTGCCTCATACAAAAAACAGTTTGTGAAAAGTGTAAAGCCATTGAGGAATGTTCGAGGGGGGCGCGCATGTCCGTCGGGTACTTGCTGTATGTACTTGAACGGGATTCCGCCACCTCAACGGCTGCAGCGTTCCGGGGCAGCGTTCCGGGGCAGCGTTCCGGGGCAGCGTTCCGGGGCAGTTGCGGCCACTTTGTAATGAGCGGTTCCCGCGTCCAGCGGCTGTGAGCGTCAACACAGCTAAATGCTCACTGCTGCTCAAAGCCGCTGGACGCGAGAATTGTTAAAACTGCAGACATCCTGATCCTCTACGGCACATGTGTCAAAGTCAAGGCCCGTGGGCCAAATCCGGCCCGCGAATGAATGTTACATGGCCCGTTGCCTGCCATTGACGCACTATTACGTCAATTGCGTTTTCCGCTATTTTCATGTTTCCAGATGTCTATTATATCTAATATGTTTGGGGATAAGCTTGAGAGCATATTGAATCGAGCCAGCAGGTGGCAGCAGCGCTCTCTGAATGGTTTGAAAACAGCTAGATGCACTTGTTGTGCCTCTTTTTTCTCAGCTTTTTGGTGATAGTCATAGTACACAATATTCTGTGGGTCTTGAAAAATCTATAAAAATCATCAGAAACTGCTGGCAATATGGGAGTACCTGTTCTGAAATAGGCTGGCAGTCAATGAGTTAATAAACATTGAACCAGTCCGGCCCTCGGCTCGCAGCAAATTTGTTTTTTTGGCCCTCTGATGTATTTGACTTTGACATGCCTGCTCTACGGTATGTGCTTCCATATACTGTATAAACAAACAAACAAAAAACGTCAAAAAAACACGCCCGGGCCGTCAAGAAGACAAAAATGCCAGGGCCGTTTTTTGGTTCCAGTCCAGCCCTGCCAGCTAATGCTCTATTTAGGTAGCAGCTAATGTATTAGTTAGCATTTAGGTAGCAGCTAATGCACTATTTAGCATTTAAGTAGCGGCTAATGTCCTAGTTAGCCTGCGCTAGTCAGCATTTAGCACATTTTAGAGGTTATTACATCAAGCTGTATGAATATGATGGAATTAGGTTTATCTTTTAAAGGAAACATACTGTGGAAAATGGACCTGGGTCTGGATCTCACTTGGGTCTCGTCCGGGTCTGGGTCTGGGTCTGGGTCTGGGCCTGGGTCTGGGCCTGGGTCTGGGCCTGGGTCTGGGCCTGGGTCTGGGCCTGGGTCTGGGCCTGGGTCTGGGCCTGGGTCTGGGCCTGGGTCTGGGTCTGGGTCTGGGCCTGGGTCTGGTCTGGGTCCGGATCCAGGCCTGAGTCTGGGTTTGATCTGGACCGGAGTCTGGGTTTGATCTGGGCCGGAGTCTTGGTCTGGGTCTGGTCTTACCTGGTTGGACGATGACAGTGACTTGAGCAGAGTCCTGTTGTCCTGAAGAGTCTGTGACTGTGAGTTTAAAGGTGTAGTCTCCCTCCTCCAGTGAAGACACCTGGAGGAAGGGCGACCGCACTCCCTGCAGGCAGACAGAGGTACTACAGGTAAAACACACACACATCCTGCACGAAGACACAGGTTCTGCAGGTAATACACACACACACCCTGCAGGAAGACACAGGTACTGCAGGTAAAAAAATCAGACACCCTGCAGGCCGACACAGGCACTACAGGTAAAACACACACACCCTCTGCTGAAAGGCACAGGTACTGGCAGGCAAAAAACACAAACTTACAGGCCGACACAGGCACTGCCGGTAAAACACACACATCCCCCTGCAGGAAGACGCAGGTAAAACAGCAGGAAAGAGACACACACGCCCTGCTGGCAGACATGGGTACTGCAGGTAAACCACACACATGTACACACACACAAACAGACATACACACAAACGTACACACATACACACACACACACACACAAACCTGCATCTCCACCACCTTGTCCTTGCTCTCAGGGCTCAGAGACCACTCATAGGATAAAGAGTCGTGGTCGTCTGTACTCTGGTTCCCCAAGAGAGTGATGGCATTTCTGGGCAACGTGATGACCTGAGGGACAGAGGACAGAGACAGAGGACAGAGAGCAGAGAGAAATAGAGGACAGAGAGCAGAGAGAGGACAAAGACAAGAGAGAACGAGTCAGAGACAGCCTTTTACAAATCAACAGTCTCCAACCGATTTTGATGATATTCTTTCTCTCTTTCTGGTCTCTCTCTCTCTTTTTGTTTTCTCTCTGGTCTCTCTCACCTGGTTTGGACCAGCATTGGCAGCTGGTTTGTAGTCAATGGCCTTGTTCACCATCAGAATGGACTGAGTGGAGTTGGAGGCTCCATCTGAGTCCGTCACCGTCAGACTGAGGAGTAAGAAGCACAAGCACTTTTAAAATAAAAATCACTTTTTGGAATATTACTGTTTAAAGCTGGGGTGTCCATGTCTCTTTGGTCACTCTGGTCTCTGTCTCTCTATCTCGGTCTCTCTGGACTCTCAGGTCTCTGACTCTCAGGTCTCTGACTCTCAGGTCTCTGACTCTCAGGTCTCTGACTCTCAGGTCTCTCTGACTCTCAGGTCTCTCTGACTCTCAGGTCTCTCTGACTCTCAGGTCTCTCTGACTCTCAGGTCTCTCTGACTCTCAGGTCTCTCTGACTCTCAGGTCTCTCTCTCAGGTCTCTCTGACTCTCAGGTCTCTCTGACTCTCAGGTCTCTCTGACTCTCAGGTCTCTCTGACTCTCAGGTCTCTCTGACTCTCAGGTCTCTCTGACTCTCAGGTCTCTCTGACTCTCAGGTCTCTCTGACTCTCAGACTCCAGGTCTCTCTGACTCTCAGGTCTCTCTGACTCTCAGGTCTCTCTGACTCTCAGGATCTCTCTGACTCTCAGGTCTCTCTGACTCTCAGGTCTCTCTGACTCTCAGTCTCTCTGACTCTCAGGTCTCTCTGACTCTCAGGTCTGACTCTCAGGACTCTCAGGTCTCTCTGACTCTCAGGTCTCTCTGACTCTCAGGTCTCTCTGACTCTCAGGTCTCTCTGACTCTCAGGTCTCTCTGACTCTCAGGTCTCTCTGACTCTCAGGTCTCTCTGACTCTCAGGTCTCTCTGACTCTCAGGTCTCTGTCTCACAGGTCTCTCCGATCCCTGTCTCTCCCGGTTTCTGTCTTTCTGGTCTCTGTCTTTGGATATAAGTGGTAGTAGGGGTGGTAGTGATCGCGGCAATAGCAGTAACATTAGCAGTATCAGTAGCACTAGCAGTAGCCTTAGCATTAGCAATAGCATTATCATAAGCAATAGCAGTAGCATTAGCAGTAACATTTTCAGTAGCAACAGTAGTAGCATTAGCAGTAAGTAGCATTAGCCAGTGTGTACCTGAAAGTGTAGTTCCCAGGCACGAGGCTAGTTAGCGTCAGGACCGCAGTGTCAGCTGAGACCTTCTCATCACGAAGAGGACCCTTCACCTCCTCCCAGTGGTACTTTACTATTCTATCATCATCTGTGCTCTCTGAAGGCCAGAGAGAGACCAAAGTGAGAACAGAGTGAGGTCAGAGAGAAAACAGAGGCACCAGAGAGAGACCAAAGTGACAGAGGACCAGAGTGAGACCAGAGAAAGACCAGAGAGAGATCAGAGTGAGACCAGAGGGACCAGAGAGAGACCAGAGAGAGACCAGAGAGAGACCAGAGGGAGCAGAGAGAACTGAGTGAGACAAGAGAGAGAGACCAAAGGGACCAGAGAAAGACCAGAGAACGACCAGAGAGAGACTAGAGAAAGACTGGGGAAAGACTGGGGAAAGACTGGGAGATACCAGGGAGAGACCGGGGAGTGACCAAAGAGTGACCAGAGATAGACCAGAGATAGACCAGAGATAGACCAGAGATAGACCAGAGATAGACCAGAGATAGACCAGAGATAGACCAGAGAGAGAGACCAGAGAGTGACCGGAGAGAGAGACCAGAGAGAGAGAGACCAGAGAGAGAGACCAGAGACCAGAGAGAGAGACCAGAGAGAGAGACTCACGGCTGCCGTCAATGACCGTGGAGCTGATGGGGAGAGAGATTTCCTGAAACTTTGGCGACACAATGGCAACCGGAGCCTTGTTCACACGCGGCTCTGAAACAGTAGCAGAGGTTTTACAAACAGGAGGCCCCTCCTCATTAACAGGCAGGCCCCTCCCCTTCAACAGCTCGTACCTGGTTTTACAGTGACGTTGACGTACGCTTCTCCATGAGCACTGTCTGTGTCCACCATAACCGCAAACTCATACAGGCCCACAGTGAGCTGCAGAGACAGATGTCAGAGAGAAAGGACAGAGGATAGAGCGATGAACATAGAGAATAAGGGCAGAGAGGATAGAGAGGACAGAAGGACCCAGAGAGAGGACAGAGGTAGAGGCAGACACAGAGGAGAGATACAGAGGCAGAGGGCAGAGAGAGGACAGAGGCAGAGACAGATGGAGAGAGGACAGAGGCAGAGACAGAGGGCAGAGACAGAGAGAGGACAGAGGCAGAGACAGATGGAGAGAGGACAGAGGCAGAGACAGAGGGCAGAGACAGAGAGAGGACAGAGGCAAAAATAAAGAGAACGAATACAGAGGCAGAAACAGAGGCAGAGATAGAGAGGACAGACAAAGACAGGGACAGAGACAGAGTCAGAGGACAGACACAGAGGATCAGCTTCACTGTCTTATATGAGGAGAAATGTGTATTTACACCTGCAGTCTTAACACTATAACATAAAGTAAATGAGAGACCATATGGGACGACACACCATTGTTTTCTCACTGGTTTATAAGTAATTCTGCAGAGCTCTAACAGCAGAGACGTTCCATGGCTAGATACTAGATACTAGATGAAATATTAATTAAGCCTCGAAAGAACCGTCTCTCTCTGAGTCTCTGCATGTTTCTGTGTCTCTGTCTGTGTCTCTGTATTCTTGTTTGTCCATCCCTTTTGTTTGCTTTTTGATATTGATTTGAAGAATGCGGTTTTTGTTGGATGCAGAGGCACATGTAAAATTGTCATGTGTCATGTAATAGAGGCCATGAAGTAAAGCAAATAAAGACATTATACAAGAAATAGGCTTCATGGGGGAGTCATGAGGGAGGGTGCACCTTGCTGAGCTTCAGAGTACCGCTGTGCTGTCCCTCCATCTCTCCGCTGTAATCTTTGGGATGAGTGATCAGCCGCCAATCAAACACAAAGTCTTTAGATCCTGAAACAGAGACATTTATTTGGACCGGAGAGAGACCAAAGAGAGACGTGAGAGAGAGCAGAGAGAGTCCAGAGAGAGACCAGAGAGACCAAACAGAGACCAGAGACCAGGGGGAGACCAGGGGAAGTACCTTCTAGAGGAGTTGGAACCACATATGCATCGAGTTCCACTTCATTTCGCGGCAGTGTGACTTCTTTGCTCTCTCCAGCCGACACCACCAGGGTGCGCACTGCAACAAACACACATCAAACTCTGACTCAGCCAATCGGCCCAAAGAGGTAGATACTGACTCACAGGGATTTTACACAGAAGCTGAGTACAGCATGTTGTGTCTGATTTGTTCAAAATATTTTCCTTTAAGTCTCTTCTTGTGTTACTTCGCTGAGCTTTAAAATAACATCTTATTACATTAGATTATTATTTATTATTATTAGCTATTAAAACACTGTCTTAAACTCTTTGTACAGTCTGACAGCGCCTGTGTGTTCAGCTGTAATTGCTGCCTTAAATATCTGACTGTACGAGTTCTGTGAAAAGGTTAAAGAACTTTATGTTGGATGGAAAAAGGAAGAGACCAGACCAGACGAGTTCTCTCTCGTGGCCATACCTGCAGGTGAAAGTCAGATCCCGCAAGACCTCTGAAAATAAGTTTCTGTCAGTGTGCCCCAGGGCAGCTGTGGCTACAGTAGTAGTGTTTGGATTCTTTCACTCCAAACACAGTAGAATAATGACATGTGAAGAGACTATGAGCGTCCAAAAAAGTGCTATATAAAACTCAGTGGTCTCTCTATGGTCTCTCTCTGGTCTCTCTCCTCACCAGCTGCAGTTGCAGAGGGTGTGGTCTTGACAGTAGAGCGCGCCCCGTCTTCAGAGCTGATGGTGGTGGTCTCCTTTAGGTCTGCAGCTGTGGACTCGGTCAGGTTCTGGTTCTGGTCCTGGACTCGGGCCTCGTTGCTGGTCTGGGTCCGGTTCGTCCCATTCTGGACTAAAGCCAGGACTGGGAGTGTCGGCTGAGCTTCTGGAACACTCTGTTATTTAACAAAAGATATATATTAACTAGGGCTGTCAAACGATTAAAATTTTTAATCAAGTTAATTACAGCTTAAAAATGTATTAATCGTAATTAAACCGATTTCGAACTATGGGCAAAATTATGCAATTTTTTCTGTAAATGGTTGTTTGAATGGAAAGATAAATGACTACATAGTGAACATATGTACTGTGTTTATTATAACAATAAATCCACATAAAATGGCATTCGCATTATTAACATTCTGTCTTTCTGTAGTAGACACGATTTTTTAATCTCAACATATTCTGCATCTGCTAAAGCCCCCTCTTTCTTCTTCTTCTGTCTCATGAAGGCTGTGAATCCTCTTCATTATTGTGCCTCTAAAAACTGTTGTTTGTCACAGGGACATTTGAGGCATGTCAGCCAATGGCTGTCATTAACTCTGTTTTATTAACTCACAACTTTTCATTTTTGGGCACAAACAACATGGAATGGTAGTGCAAAGGACAAGTTAGGTATCCCAGCTTTAATTTAGCTTTTATCTTTTTTTTGCTTCGGGAGAAGACACGGGGGAGACTGTTTCTTGCAGCGCTGTTTTTATTGTGTGCACTATCGCTTGTGCGTGATCAGTGCACACAGTGGTCCTGTGCGTGTGTATGGAATTGGGTACATGACCATGTTACGGCTGCGCGCTCCCGTGTTGTTACGCCGCTTACAGCCGCTGGGCGCGGGAACGGCTGTCCAAAGCGGCCGCAGCTGCCCCAGAACGCTGCGGACTCCCATTCACAGCAATTGCCCCGCGTTAAAAGCGTTAATTTTTTTAACACGATTAATGAAAAAAATTAATTAACGTGCGTTAACGCGATAATTTTGACAGCCCTAATATTAACGAGACACAGTTTTGGTTTCATGTGGATTGTTCCAAGATTTACAGAGAAATTATTTCTAAACTCAGACTAGAATCTGGACCAGTACAAGTCTAAGCTGCTCCAGCGCAGTGTGAAACTTTTGCTCTCTGGAGCATGTGATGTCACATGAACCATGTGGCAGGTGCAGGACTCACGGAGTTGAGAGGGTCCAGGGGAGGAACTCCGAGGGTCTTCAGTCCAGCCCTTCTCCTTCTGTTCAGAGTCACAGGACCCTGAAGGCAGACCATAGTGTTTGTTACTCCCTTTGTTACTCCCTTAGTTACTCCCTTAGTTACTCCCTTAGTTACTCCCTTAGTTACTCCCTTAGTTACTCCCTTAGTTACTCCCTTAGTTACTCCCTTAGTTACTCCCTTAGTTACTCCCTTAGTTACTCCCTTAGTTACTCCCTTAGTTACTCCCTTTGTTACTCCCTCTGTTACTCCCTCTGTTACTCCCTCTGTTACTCCCTCTGTTACTCCCTCTGTTACTCCCTCTGTTACTCCCTCTGTTACTCCCTCTGTTACTCCCTCTGTTACTCCCTCTGGTCTCTCTCTGGTCTCTCTCTGGTCTCTCTCTGGTCTCTCTCTAGTCTCTCTCTAGTCTCTCTCCCTAGTCTCTCTCCCTAGTCTCTCTCCCTAGTCTCTCTCCCTAGTCTCTCTCCCTAGTCTCTCTCCCTAGTCTCTCACCCTAGTCTCTCACCCTAGTCTCTCACCCTAGTCTCTCACCCTAGTCTCTCACCCTAGTCTCTCACCCTTGCCAGCAGCTGCAGTAGTCCCAGAGACTCCTGGTGTGGCTGGGGCAGGTAGGTGATGGCACATGCTGTGCTCCTGGTGCAGGACAGTAGGACACAGCGCTCCCCCAGGCTCCACACGGCGCTGCAGCCTGGGGACAAACAGCACGACTCCCAACATGTGGACCCTCCCCTGCCGTTAGCCAGAGGACGCCAGCCCAGAGAGAGGACACTGCTCCAGTGGACACCCAGGACACCTCCACTCACTCTGCACAGGCTGGACACTGAAGACACAGAGAGAGAGAGAGAGACAGAAAGACAGAGTGACAGAAACAGAGAGACAATAAGAGAGTGAGAGAGAGGGACAGAGACAGGGACACAGAGAGACAGAGACAGACAGAAACACAAAGACAGAGTGGCAAAAATGAGTTAAATGAGGAATATTCTGCTGAAGTTACGTCCCTCAGCTTTAAACACAATATATGTTGGTCTTGAACATGTTCTTTACATTATGAGCATCACCCTTTACAAACTGTATGTGTGTGTATGTCTGTCTTCTGTTACTGAGCGCCCCCAGCGGTCAGGTGTGCGGCTTTCAACTTTTGCATAATGTAATGTTTTGTACGTCTCCGTTCAGAAAAAGGAAAAGGAAAATTAGCGGCAAAACTATTCCCCAGAGGCTCTTAAAAAGTGACATTTCCTGGTGGAAATATAGAGTCGGCGTGCGTCGGACAATCTCAAAATGATATTGCATGGAATATTTTGTCCTCATTGTCAAAAACGCAATCCTTTCATTGGAAAAAAAAATAACAATAATAATATGAAACCGGCCAATAACTATAGCCCTCTCTTTTAACATACAAAGCCATAAATGGCTTGGCTCCTTCTTATCTTCAAGACACGTTAGTGTCATATCAACCAAACCGAGCATTGCGCTCGCAAAACGCCAGGCGTTTGGTGGTTCCTAAGGTCTTAAAAAGCACTGTCGGCGGCAGAGCATTTAGCTACCAAGCTCCTTTACTGTGGAATCAACTTCCCATCCACGTCAAGGAAGCAGATACGGTCTCTACATTCAAGGCCAGGCTTAAAACACTCTACTTCAATTAAGCATATGGTTAGGTCGTTTGTCTGGTTTGGTTTACACACGTGTGTAATCCACAAATCTTTGATGTTGTAGCCTGGGCTAGTCTAGCCGTGGCTGCTGCTGTCTCACCTTCGTTCGGACACGGTCTCTATATTCAAGCCTAGGCTTAAAATAGTCCTCCTCAGTTTAGCATATGGTTAGGGAGGTAAGACTCAGCGAAGGCTAAACATCTTAGACTGCCAGTCAAGCTGCGTAGGGAGTCAGTTTGCTTTTTGCTAGTGTGTTAATTGCTATTCACCAGTTGTCCCATTGTCTGTTTTATGGCGCGACCTCCGAACTGGCCCTCTCCATCTACATCTGCGGACTGCCTTGCCCCCCTCCATCTGCACCTGTGGACTGCCCTGCCCGACACGCCTGGGAGCGCTTCAGTCCTGCACCAGACCTGTCCACGTTCTGTGGCCGCTGCGTGGCATTGGTCCTCGTTCTGTAGCTTAGGTCCTGGATCATTAGCCCGTCCGTACGTGTGGAGCGGATCCCTCTCTCAATCTGTGGGTCTCCCCGAGGTTTCCCACTTTTTTTCCCACTGGGTTTTTGGGATTTTTTCCTTGCTGATGCAGGAGGGTCTGTTGGGCAGTTAGTGTCCAACAAGAAGGACTGTGGCGATGATCCAGGCCACTTTAACATTCTACAACATGTATTGACATTTATCAACATTCATGCACATTGGTCTTTCCCTATGGACCAATTCATATATGTATATTATTTGAGTCTTAACTGTTGATTCTCTGATCTGTGTTGGTGATTTCAATGGTTTTGTTAAGTCCTCTGAGATGACTGCTGTTGTGATTTAGGGCTATACAAGAATAAGTTGTTATTGTTGTTGTTTTCCAGTACTACGTAATAGCTCATGCTAATAATCTAAGCTCAGGGACCAGAAAGAGAGCAGTGACCAGAGAGAGACTAGAGAGAGACCAGGATCTGTCTGTGTATCAATGAGGGTCGGTTTCTTTCCTTTTGTCGTCAGTGAAACCGGGCCCCAGTGAAAGAAAACATCACAGCGACTCACACAGGAAGCACTGTGTTTGGTTAAAGCTGGGGTCTGTAACTTTAAAGCTGGAGTCTGTAACTTTAAAGCTAGGGTCCGTCACTTCCAGATCACAACAACAGAACTCTTGAACTCACGCCTCGAGAACAATTGCTTATATCTATAGTCACGTGTATTTCTGGCCTCTGTCTCTCTCTCTGGCCTCTCTCTCCGGCCTCTCTCTCCGGCCTCTCTCTCCGGCCTCTCTCTCCGGCCTCTCTCTCCGGCCTCTCTCTCCGGCCTCTCTCTCCGGCCTCTCTCTCCGGCCTCTCTCTCCGGCCTCTCTCTCCGGCCTCTCTCTCCGGCCTCTCTCTCCGGCCTCTCTCTCCGGCCTCTCTCTCTGGCCTTTCTCTCTGGTCTCTCTCTCTGGTCTATCATGGTCTCTCTCTCTGGTCTCTAACTTCTGTTAACTGTAATACCATCAGAGCGTCCGGTTTCCTCTGTGTGTAATCAGGACCAGGTCCAAAGCACACTTTGCAAGCCAACACTTTACAAGAGGGTAAAGACCAGGACAGGACAATAAATCAGGAGAGCGACACCAGGTGAACTCCACATGACCATAAACCAGGAGAGAGACACCAGGTGCACACCACAGCTCCTCTGGTCACTCACATAGTCAATGCCATATTTAAAGCTGGGGGACGTAACTTTCAAATCACAACAACTGCTCTGTATTAAAGGTGCCATATTACGCTTTTTGACTAGCAAATTTTACCTATTGTGCACGTTTTTAGTGGTATGGGAAACCGGAACACCCGGAGAAAACGCACGTAGAACTTGCAACATCCACTCAGAAAGACCATGTTCCGGCCAGGATTCGAACCCAAGATCTTTGTGCTGAGAAGGAAGAGTGCTCTTCACTCAGCCTCTATACTATGAGTTCACCACATTGAGCTATACTGTTTTTCTGCTTTTGTCAGCAACAAAAAGTGTTAGGATCATGTCTACTTGGAGAAAATGTGTTTTTGCGAAGCCCCGATCTTAAGTACAGCTACAAACTTGCCGTAGACAACTGTCTACTAAAAAATTAGGGTCTGATTCTGGATCGAGGACATAGAGCTCGATGTGTCGGATTGCCATTGTTGGAAAAAGTTGAATAGTTTGCTTTGAAGATAAAAAACTAACAGCGTGAGGGCACGGTCTCAAGACGCAGAGGAGCAGAGTCCTCTTTGGATCAGCCTGTTTGAGTTGAGGTGACATCACCCCATGCAAGAGAAGGCTATAATCTCACAAGTTTTGGTGTTGTATGGCGTATCACTCAAATTATTATCACACATGTGAAGCATGGCTCTAAACTGGCTAGTTCTGGCTCTAAACCTTGCAGTATAGACCTCTGCAAGGTTTAGAGCCAGAACTAGAGACATGGTTTTAAAGGTTCCATATGGCATTTAAAGTTATAGACCCATGCTTTAAAGTTACAGACCCCAACCTTTAAAGTTACAGACCCCAGCTTTAAAGTTACAGACAGCTTTAATATCTTGCGGCTTCAAAGTTCAGACGGATCCTCAGAACAAACACCATCAAACGATGACAGTTCCACCCTGAGCAATCAGAGGGTGTGACCCAAACTAGAGACAATGAGGAGACTGTGGATCTGAGTCAACACATGCTGTCAGGCTGGTCTGGTTAGAGACCAGAGGGGGACCAGAGGGAGACCAGAAGGAGACCAGAGGGAGACCAGAAGGAGACCAGAGGGAGACCAGAGAGAGAGACCAAAGAGAGAGACCAAAGAGAGAGCAGAGAGAGATACCAAAGAGAGGCCAAAGAGAGGCCAGAGAGAGGCCAAAGAGAGGCCAGAGAGAGATCAGAGAGATCAGCAAGATCAGAGAGATCAGCAAGATCAGAGAGAGACCAGAGAGAGAGAGAGACCAGAGAGGCACCAGAAAAAGGCGAGAGAGACCAGAGAGAAAAGCCAAAGAGAGGCCAGAGAGAGATCAGAGAGATCAGCAAGATCAGATAGAGACCAGAGAGAGACCAGAGAGAGACTAGAGAGAGAGACCAGACAGAGACCAGAGAGGCACCAGAAAGAGGCAAGAAAGACCAGAGAGATAGAAGCGGTCTGTCTGGTTTGGTTTAAAGACATGGGAGGAGAGAGGAAAAACTGGTCTTATTTTAGCATGTAAACATCTGGAGGGAGGTGCAGAGCAGGCCACAGGTGCAGGGGAAGCAGATAATATGACAGTTTGATTCTCAAGAGACAGAGAGAGAGAGAGAGAAACAGACAGAGAGAGAGAGAAACAGAAAGAGAGAGAGCGAGAGCGAGAGAGATAGAAGTACATAGAGAGAGATAGACTGAGACAGCTGAGAATGAGCTGCAGTATACTGCGGTCCACCATCAGGTACAGCAACACCCTCCAGATCATATTTGAGACACATTACACAAATCCATGAACTAAATACAGTTAGAGAAGTGATTTTTACCGATGGGCGGGGCCTGGAGGAGGAGGAGGGGGAGGAGGAGGAGGAAGACGCTCCAGGATTGAGGCTTCAGTGACATTCTGCAGAGACAAGTACAAGACACACACATTCACATTTACACTGAAGTTTGATGGTTAAACAGTGTGTGTGTCGGTTTCTCTGGGTCTCTCTCTGGGTCTCTCTCTGGGTCTCTCTCTGGGTCTCTCTCTGGGTCTCTCTCTGGGTCTCTCTCTGGGTCTCTCTCTGGGTCTCTCTCTGGGTCTCTCTCTGGGTCTCTCTCTGGGTCTCACTCTGGGTCTCACTCTGGGTCTCTCTCTGGGTCTCTCTCTGGGTCTCTCTCTGGGTCTCTCTCTGGTCTCTCTCTGGGTCTCTCTCTGGGTCTCTCTCTGGGTCTCTCTCTGGGTCTCTCTCTGCGTCTCTCTCTGCGTCTCTCTCTGCGTCTCTCTCTGCGTCTCTCTCTGCGTCTCTCTCTGGTCTCTCTCTGGTCTCTCTCTGGTCTCTCTCTGGTCTCTCTCTGGTCTCTCTCTGGTCTCTCTCTGGTCTCTCTCACCTGACTCCAGTAGAAGAAACCGAGAGGATTACAGTAAGTTAAGTGGGCGACGTGTCCAACATGGCCGACGCCGGGGCAGTTGCAGCTCAAGAGTTCCAGAAACTGAACTGAAACAAAAACATGAGAGAAACTCACTCCTGCAGTGATATCACTATCTTCTGCAAGTCTGCGTTATCTGAATGGTTACTCTCACTCTGGTGTCTCTCTCTGGTGTCTCTCTCTTGTCTCTCTCTCTGGGTCTCTCTCTGGGTCTCTCTCTGGGTCTCTCTCTGGGTCTCTCTCTGGGTCTCTCTCTGGGTCTCTCTCTGGGTCTCTCTCTGGGTCTCTCTCTGGTCTCTCTCTGGTCTCTCTCTGGTCTCTCTCTGGTCTCTCTCTGGTCTCTCTCTGGTCTCTCTCTGGTCTCTCTCTGGTCTCTCTCTGGTCTCTCTCTGGTCTCTCTCTGGTCTCTCTCTGTCTCTCTCTGGTCTCTCTCTGTCTCTCTCTGGCTGTGTTATTGGGTTGGACTCTGAACAGTAGTCTGTAAAGTACTTATTGTTTTACTGATAACACAAGTTGACAGCCAAAAAATTGTCAGGGGTTTCTCAACTGATTTAGACTAATTTTGGTGTTCTGAGTCCGAATATCACATGCATTTTGCTCTATCAGGTCAAATTTTATCATACAGCCATAGTGTTACGGATTATGTACGTCTACGTTATTATGAATTCTGCTTATCAAATTTGATGGAGTAAATAAAAACTGAATGACTTTGGATATGTTGACTTTTATTTCTTGAGGAAAACGGAAAAAACGTCAAGGGTTTCTCAGCTGATGATCCGCAGAAATTTGTTTTTTTACGCAAAATCGATTTAAAAAAATATTTCTAGACTTCCGGTGAGCAACCGAAATGGCGACAGCCTAACCTCGTGGCTTCCCGAACAAAGTATAGATACCCCCCTTTCCCCTTGTATTTGAGAGTGCTAAATTGATAAACGAGTAGGAACAACTGAGAAGAAATGACCCGAGGCAAACAAAGTAAGTCTGCGAGACTCCAACCACTGGTGGATGATGATACTGCGGGAGAAGAAGCAGCGGCTAGTCCAACTAGCCAAGCTGCTAGCACTTCAGACACGGAGGGGACTACGGAGGATTTAATGGCTAATGACTTGGCTAATTTACAAACTATACTTCGTGAGCTAAGGAGTTTATGACGTGAAAGTGGAGAAAACTTCTGCGAGCTCAAAGAAGAAATTAAAAAAGTTAATACGAGACTTGACGACGCTGAAGATCGCATTGACGAAGTGGAGAACAGGACCCAGCGGCTTGAGGAAACTACGCTTGAACTCATAAAAATACAAGAGGTACTCAACGCAAAAATCTCAGTTAGAAGGGAGATCGCGAAGAGATAATATTTGAATTCACGGTATCGCAGAGGGCGCAGAAGACGGATCTCCATTTGTTCCTGACTTCATTAAGAATCTCATCTCATCTCATTTACATTCCTTTATTTTCCATTTCTGGGTCAGGGGGTGGCAATCAGAACTGCCACCCAATTCACATAGCACCAGTCCCTTGCTGATCTTCCTGCAGGTGGTGGGTCCACGGGAAGATGGCTGCTCCTTCGACACAGATGCGGCCTTGGTCTTTCAGCGGGGACTTCAGGCACATTGGGGTTAAGTGTCTTGCCCAGGGACACAACGACAGCGGACATCAGTGGGAGCAGTTGACATGGGTCGTGGTGGGATCGAACCCACAACCCTTAGGTCCAAAGACCAGTGCTCTACCAACTGAGCTACTTCGTTTGAAAAAATAGCCCAACATAAAGACAAGGAGGGTCGATATAATATGGTCATAGGTCGACTTGAAGGTTTAGAGATTACCTTTATTAATGTTTATGCCCCCCCTGGGTCATCATGGTCTTTTTACAAATGTGTAATTGATATGATGGCCACAAAGGCACAAGGTATTGTTATTTGTGGTGGGGATTTTAATGTAAGACTGAACCCTTTAGAGGACTCTTTCGCACAGACCTCGCACAATAATACTGGGAAAAAATTGAAAAAGTTAATGAAGGAATTAGGAATTGGAGATGTGTGGCGTGAATCACACCCCCACCAGAGGGATTATACATTTTACTCTGCAACACATCGTTCCTATTCAAGACTGGACTATTTTTTCATGTATAATAAAGACCTAGGTCGGGTGAGTGCTGCTTTAGATCAATGGACCTCTCTGATCACTGTCCTGTGTACATGAAGCTAGACATAGACAAGATTAAAACACCTTTTTTATGGAGACTTAACTCGAGCATACTTAAAGGAGAAATCAGAGAAGAAATAAAAAATGACATCAAATTGTATATTCGAGACAATGATAATGATGAAGTTTCTCCCGAAATATTATGGGATGCCTGTAAAGCGGTCCTGAGGGGTAAATTGATTGCAAAGAGCACTCTTCTTAAAAAAAGACGAGAACAGAGAATCAAGACCTTGGAGCAAAAACGTATCAACTTGGAAGAAAAACACAAAAATAGTGGCGACGATGATACCCTGCAAAAAATAAAATAAATTATACGCGAAATCAATCAAAAATTACAGAATAAAATAAAGACTCAACTACTTTATCTAAAACAGAGCTATTATGAAGCAGGAAGTAAATCTACAAAGGTCCTGACCTACAGATTTAAAAAACAACAAGCAGAAAGGTCTGTATACAAAATAAAAGATCCCTCTACTAAGGAAGTCACATACTAAGAGTTTGAAGTTAGAGACATTTTTGCTGGATATTATCGGAAACTTTGTAGTTTAAAGGAGCCAGATAAGGAAGATAAGACCTCACCAATGTTAAACCAATTGGAATTGCCTATGCTCTCTAGTGAACAAAATACAACTTTAACAAGGAATATAACTGCTCAGGAACTGGCAAAAGCAGTTAAAAGGCTCAAATTGAATAAATCTCCAGGTTCCGACGGCTACAATGCTGACTGATACAAGATATACCTGGAAGAACTTTCATCTCTACTCCTTAAGACATTTAACTGGGTTTTGAGCGGGGGTCAAATCCCACCAACTTGGAAAGAGACCATCATCACAGTTATCCCAAAGGATGGTAAGGACAAATTAGATTGCTCAAATTTCAGACCCATTAGTTTACTGAATCAGGATTATAAGATCTTCACCTCCATCTTGGCCAAAAGACTGGAACATATTCTCCCGGACATAATTGGACCAGACAGGCTTTATCAAGGAGAGGAAAACTAGAGATAATATAAGACGCACACTACATGTGATTCATCAAATACAGAAAGATAAAAAACCAGCTGTTGTTTTGGGTCTGGACGCACAAAAAGCATTTGACACTGTAGATTGGGCTTTTCTTTATAAAGTACTTTCCAAATTTAACTTTACCGAAAAGTTTATAAAAATAATACAAGGATTATAAAACAAACCTATAGGGAAAATTAGAATAAATGGAGGTCTATCAAATCCTCTAAATATTGAACAAGGTTGTAGACATGGCTGTCATTTATCTTCGATTTTATTTGCCATTTTTATTGAGCCCCTGGCACAATATATCAGACAAAATAGAAAGATAAAAGGCATTAAAGTAAATGAGAAGGAACAGAAGATTGCCCTGTTTGCTGATGATGTCCTAGTTTACTTTAACCCACCGAATCTCTTCCTGAACTGCATAAAGTTTTAATGGAATTCAGCAACATCTCAGGCTATAGATTAAATTCTCATAAATCACAAGTATTGACATTCAACTACAACCCAGAAGATCCCATAAAGAAAATATTTAAAATCAATTGGTGTATGGACTCAATAACATACTTGGGAGTACAAATTCCAAAGGACATACAAACTTTAAAGTCAATAAACTACGATCCACTTATTGCTAAAATTAAAACTGATTTGGATAGATGGATGGATAGCCTGATCCCCTATCTAGGACTTTTACATAGAGTAGAAGCAATTAAGATGGTAATCTTGCCTAAACTATTATATCTATTTCAAACAATACCTGTTGACTCTTCAACAACAATGTTCCAGGAACTGGATACATTATTTTCAAGGTTTATCTGGGCAGGGAAAAAACCTAGAATAAGATACAAAACTCTACAAATGGCAAGAAACAAGGGTGGACTCTCTCTTCCAAATCTGAAGAATTATTACAGAGCGGCCCAACTAAGCCCATTGTTTGATATTTGCAGCTCATCATATACAGCAAAATGGAAAAGAAATTGAATATAGATCTGAAGTAATCCCCGTACCGGCAATGATTGGCAACACACATTTAATGAGTAATGTAAGGGAACTTAACCCATGGACCAAGGCAGCTCTTGATATCTGGTCAAAAATAATAAAGGACAATCCAAAATGCACCCTTATGATCAAATGGATTGCGTATGACAAGGACTTTACCCCAAATGTAGGAGATAAAACATTTAAAAATTGGTCTGACAAAGGTTTAATGACTTACAATCAGTTTTATCATAAAGATCAAATGAGGAGCTATCAAGATTTGAAAAGGACCTACAATCTTGACAACAAAGACTTTTTCCGATACCTCCAGGTCCGCCACTACTTGAACCACAATTATAGTGACCATACAAAGCAGCTGTCGGGATTAATAACAATATTTATAAAAGCATATCAGCAAGGACCAAACAATAAGTTGATTTCTAAACTATATGATGAGCTGCAAAACTTGCAGAATGAAAATATACTGTATATTAAAGAAAAATGGGAGAAAGAGGGTAATCTCTCCATACAAATGGAAAATTGGGTTAAAATCCCAGTTAATGTATGGAAAAGCACATCATCCCCTGTATGGAGAGAGTTTTCATGGAAATGTATGGTAAGTTTTTTAAAAACTCCAGTCCAGAGAGGCTCAAGTGCTGATACTTCATGTTGGAGGTTATGTGGAACCAAACGGGCTGGCCATCACCACATATTCTGGAGTTGTTCAAAAATAACCAATTACTGGATGGCTATTAAACAGGGCATTGACACAATTATTGGCATTAATGTTCCTTTGAATTTTGAAACTATGTTTTTGGGGATACAACCAGACTGTATAAAAGGGGCGAGTAAAAAATATATGTGGATTGTTTTACTGGCAGCAAGCAAAAAAGCTATCACAAAGAAATGGATGACAGACAGAACACCTGTGTTGGGGGACTGGATATCACTTGTTAAAGACATTTTTCATATGGAGAGAATGACTTTTGCACTAAGACTGGATCACGACAGATTTGAGGACTATTGGAAATGTTGGACACATTATACCAACACTTAAGGACACGTGTGATATCCCTTTGCTACTCTATTGTTCTTTTGTTTTTGTTCTATTATGTAAAAAAAAAAAAGTGTTAATAAATGTACAAATTCTAATGTACCATGTATGTAACTTTGTGTAGATTGTTAATGTAAGAACTGCTGATCGAGTCAATACAAATTTCTATAGCGAAAAAATCCTGACCTGATTGAGCAAAACCAAGGTCATTTTCGGACTCAGAGCATCAAAATTAGTCTAATTCAGCTGGAAACCCCTGGACTATTTTCAAAAAATATTTTTTTGTTACCCAGTGTAATGAGTCAAAAAGAAACATTTTCCTTTGGCTCAAAATCATTCACTGGATACATTTCTTTTTGTAGAAAGTTTAACAAATATTGTTCAATAAGGTCTCTGCCTCAGTCTCTGCCTCAGTCTCTGCCTCAGTCTCTGCCTCAGTCTCTGCCTCAGTCTCTGCCTCAGTCTCTGCCTCAGTCTCTGCCTCAGTCTCTGCCTCAGTCTCTGCCTCAGTCTCTGCCTCAGTCTCTGCCTCAGTCTCTGCCTCAGTCTCACCTTCTCGCTGGCTTCCTCTTGCGTCTGCATTATTTCCGTTCCGACGTGTCTGTCATTTGTCGAGGGAAATTTCACAAATTTCACTCCAAAAATGTGAAATCCAAGGGGTACAACGAGGTCACAACAGGTACCAGGTCAGGTCTAAGTCAGATTTCCCACAGAAAATAGTTCCAGTCTCAATACTTTGATACGTAATCAGAGTGTTTGTCCTCCTCCTACTGGTCCTGGTTTAGTTCCTGGTCCAGGTCCTGTTCCAGGTCCTGGTCCTTGTCCTGGTCCTTGTCCTGGTCTTGGTTCAGGTCCTGGTTCAGGTCTTGGTTCAGGTCCTGATCCTGGTCCTGGTTCTAGGCTTGGTCCTGGTCCAGATTCTACTTGTGTTGTGATTGTTTGAACATGAAATCCAATGTGAAACTGTTTTCAGAATTCTGCGAAAGAGAAGCACAGGAACATGTCAACAATAGAGCTGAGGTTTGAAGATGAAGTTTAAAGATGAATGTAAAGATGAGGTTTGAAGAACGCAGACACATTCAAAGCCCTGTTTCCACTTGCTCTACTCTACTCCACCTGGTTTGGTTTCCATTATGTTTCGTATCTGGTATAATTTCCTTGCAACCCACAACACACATGCCAAATCAGGGGAGAGAAGATTAGAGTAGAGTACAGTACAGTACAGTGCAGTAGAGTAGAGTGGAGCAGAGTAGAGTAGAAGTGATAACTGAAGATAATCTTATTTATCATCTCTGAGTACACAACAAAGCAACACACACACAGACTCAGAGACACACACACATACACAGTTTCCTGGTTTGAAGAAAGGATCGTCTTAAACTGGAGAGTCCTGCTCCCAACAATAGTCACACACACTAAAGACGACAGTCAATACTTGTTGTACAGTCTGACAGCAGTCACTGTCTTCACACTGTAACATTGTTATTACTGTACTCGTTGTACAGTCTGATAGCAGTTGCTGAGACACAGACACACACACACACACATCTACAATATAAGGATTTAGATTCAGATTGAAATAATAAACAGGTGACTCTGGGACACGCAGCTTATCTGCTTATAAATAAATCAGGCGCATGTTCCAGAGGAGACATTACACTGGAACCTACAGTGAAGTCCAACACTACACCGCAGCACTACAGCAGCTACAGTGTTACTAATGTATTCTATGTAAATATATATAAATGATATAAATGTGCTGATTTAGAGACAAGGCGCAGATCTGCCTCCTTCACGCCACATTCTGTGGTTCTAACGCGATCTGTCAGTAATACTGTAACATTCTGTTCATACTCACACGGGGAAGCCGAGCTGGTGCTCTGCCTCGGGCCTCTGGACAGCCGAAGAGCCGCTGTGTGGATGGGCATCTGGGGGAACTGTGGAGGAAATGAGGTCAGTGTATATCAGCATTTATTTGGCGTGTTTTCAGCTGATGCGACTCTGCCAAACCGCGATAAATACTACTTCCGCTGGCGAATGGTATTTCACAATAAAATAATTTTTTCATATGTATTAAGCATAGACTGTAATGAGAGACCAGAAAGAGAGAGCGAGAGGGGGAGAGAGAGAGAGAGAGAAAGAGAGAGAGAGAGAGAGATTAAAAAAAACCGGTGGTAGGGGAAACCGGAGCACCCAGAGCAAACCTACGCAGACAGACACGAGAGGTGTAATTGAACCCAGGCCCTTGAAACACAAGGGCCTGGTAAGTACCTCTGGGAACACCAGGTGCCACAGTGGGGCAACTGCGGCTGCCAAAACTGTGGTTGTGTCCTTAGGCAAGATTTCAAACAGTCTGGTGTGTGTGTGGTGATGGTTGCTGGTGGTGGGGGAAGCCGATGGCACTGACTGGTGGCCTCGTTTCTGTCTTTGTGCCCCAGGCAGCTGTGGCTACAGTAGTACACGGTGTATTTAATGAAAGAATAAGGACATGTGAAGCGTCTTTAAGTGTGTTTTGAGATGATGAGGATTATTATTATTATTATTATTATCAATAATATTTTGTCTATTATTATATCTGTCGTCTCTAGATTGCTGTCGCCCTCCAGAGGCCGTTGCTAGGGGCGACAGCTTCAGTACGATATAAGGCCATTTCACTGTTTAACGTTGATATTGTTGGATTATTGTGCTCAAAAAAACTGAGAAAATATTTAAAGTAACACCATGTAACATTTTCAGTGTTATTTGTAAAGGTTGATTCCTTGCGATTCAAAATGGTGCCGGTGACATTTCAACAACACTTGCCGTCATTGGTCAGATTATCCTGATAGCTTGTTTCTATTGGCTACAAGCTCGTTACTTTGACACACGTACCCGGAACGCGCCTGCGACAGAGAACCCGCCGCGTGAACGTCAAGTGGCTGTAAACACAGTGAGTTTCATCACTCTAAAGCTTTTACCGCATGTTTAAACTGGTTGAAAGATGGCAGTGGACAATGATGGCACTGGTGAAGCATGACGAGGCTATAACTCTAGTGACAGTGGTATTTGGAGGGGGAACACGTGGCATATGGAGAGAGAGAGACCAGAGAGAGAAAAAACGGATCAACAGATGTGACAGAAGGGAAAGTACATGAAACTGTTGCGACAATAGATTTTATCTCTGTATTTGTCATGTAATGATTAAGTTCCTGAGCTTTAATCATGTCTTTGATTTTGCAGTCGTCTCGTGATGGAAAGTGAAGAGCAGGACGGAGCAGAGATCAGGGAAGGTCAGACTGAGGAGACCAGCGGAGGACACACCAGGGGAGGTCTGAGTGGGGAGACCAGGGGAGGTCTGAGTAGGCCTGTCACGATAACAAATTTTGCTAGACGATTAATTGTCTCAGAAATTATTGCGATAAGCGATTATATTGTCGTTCTGAGATCATTTGCATCGATTACAATGATCATGCAGGTACACCTTTACAAAGAGAAATAAACTTTTATTTTTAACGAATATTTAACGCTAGAACACAATAAATTTACAAACAACCAAAAACAATAAATAAAATACTCAGTCTCTTAACAAAAAATGACCAGGAATAAAACTGCCAGGACCTTTGTAAAGAAAATATGAAACAGATGCCTCAAATGTCAATAATTTCTCAGACTTTATGGCAGATTACGAGAAAGAAATACCAACATGTTGATTTTGTGTGGTTTAAGACAGGATCTCTCAGGAGTAGTCCCACCTCCCCACACCAGGCGAATGACAAGTGACTGACATGTGGGTTCACCAATGGGGCGTACAGAAGTCCTGCTGCGGTAGCGCCCACCGGAAGTAGCGGGGCGGGCTTTGATGCTAACAGCTAAGCTAGCGGGTTTTTTGTGTAAAGTTCTACTCCAAGAATGCAAGTCTGCAGCATCTCTGTGTTCAGAGACCTTCTAGAGACTTTATATAACAGCAGTATGTGTTCACGGAGGTGCGCCATAAGTTTATTTTATTGGTATGGTACGGTACTTCTGCATCGGCGAACACGCTAACGCTAGCTGCGCTAGTATAGTCACTAATCAAGCCTGAATGAGAACTCAGCTGCCGGCATATGTTCACAACTACTGTGTCCCCCATTGTCAATCCTGGTTAAGTCCTGGTTTAGGTCCTGTTTTGGCTGTATTTTGTATTTTTGAGTAATTTCCGTCTGCTTGCTAGACCGCTAGTGTTCCCGTGACCACTTTGCGGCTCTCTGACCCGAGAGAGACGGGGTAAACAAACAAGCATGCAAATGGGATTTATCGCGGCCAGAAAAGTTATTGAGCAAATTTTATTTATCGTGCGATTAATTGATTTATTGACTATCGCGACAGGCCTAGGTCTGAGTAAGGAGACCATGGGAGCAGAGACCAATGGAGGTCTGAGGGAGGAGACCAGGGGACGTCTGAGTGAGGCTCAGGCTGAGGTTCTAGAGAGATGTTTACACGCTCTAAAACATGCCAAGAACGACAGCCACCTGCTTGCCGCGCTGCTGCTGGTGAGTGAGACTTTGATACAATCAAACCGTTCATACACAAGAAATGCAATAATAACAAACACATAGGAGCTACTGGTCCATAGGGAGCGGGACTGAGGCTGTAGATCCAGGATTGAGGCTGTAGAACCAGTGGAACTAGAGATATGCGTTTCATATCTCTAGTAACTAACATCTATGCTGGACCATGACTGTCACACTCTGTCTGCTCTGGAGAGCAGTTTCAGTGACAGACTTATTCATCTTTGCTGTGTGAAGGAGAGGTTTCCGCAGGTCATTCCTTCCTGCTGCCATCAGACTGTACAACAAACAATGTGGATTAACTAACACTGCCAACCTGTTCTCACAAATATATAATGTAGAACCACATGTGTCACTGTCACTTTACTGAGTCACTGTGTCCCAGACCCTCTGCAGCTATTGTACAGATGTAAACATACAACTACATATTGCTTGCACTGGAATACACAGTACTTTATACTTGCTTCTTATTACACCAAATGTAGAGATGTTATACTTTTTTATTATGTTAAAGATAGATAAATTATACTTGTTTCTTTGATGCTAGAGTTAGAGACTTTTATTTTAATTAGTATAGTTGTTGTTCATTCATCTTGTGATGTGTGCTCCTCATTCCTACTGCTCTGTAAATTGTAATGCTTCCAGATCACCCGTCTGTGTCCTGCAAACCAGCTGGACCAGATGACTCTGAGGAGGATCTTTGAAGCGGTTGGCCTGAACCTGCCCGCGCGCCTCCTGGTCACTGCGGTCAGAGGCAGCAGTGATGGCTCGGGTTTAGCCCCGAATGAGCTGCTCTCTCTGGGCACCGCTCTCCTGGCCGCCCTCAGCACTGACCCAGACATGGCGTACAAGCCCCAGCTCCTCTCCACAGTCCCCCTCCTGCTGCAGATCCTTTCCACCGGACCCCAGCCAAAGCACCGCGATGACAACCCAACAGGAGGAGACCCGACCTGCCAGGACTCACACCGCAGTGAGGCTAAACCAGAGCACAAAGACAACAGTGAGACTAAACCAGAGCAGGGAGGAGACAACAGCTCAGAGAACAAGGAGCCTCATGTTTCCTTCCAAGTGGATGAGGCCATTGCTGCAGACTGCTACCAGGTGCTTCTGTCTGTGTGTGCACAGCCGCTTGGACCGGAGCAACTACTGAGTCGCGGAGCTGTGCGCGCGCTGTGCCAAGCCGTGCTGAGGGACCAGACTCTAAGCCGCGAACAGGGACTCCCTCTGCTGGCCTTTCTGCTGTCAGGGAAGACCAAGACCAAGGCCTGGAGCAGGAACTGTGGAGAAGTACTGGGGCTGCTGGACAAACTCACAGAGGATTTTTCCAAAGCTCCAGAGAGAGACAGGCTCAAGATGTGTGTGACGCTTGTGCCGTTTGTTCCAGCGCTCGCAGAGGGTTCAGAGAGGGCGAGGGGAGTGGTCAGGCGGGTGTGGGCTGTGTTGAGACCGATGCTGCAGTCCAAGCTGACGCCGAAGCAGATGGGGCCCGTGCTGGTTCTGGGGGCCTGTCTACTGGACGTGTGTGGGTGGGAGGAGGTGGGTTCTCCAAAGTTCTGCTGCCTCCTGGTGAACCGTGCCTGTGTGGAGCTGAGGATGGAGCTGGAGGAACCTCCTGGGTCCAGCCTCAGTCCAGAGACGCAGCACACCATCACCGGTGAGCCATAACTCTGTGATAATATCAAAACTACTTTGTACCTATCTAGTCTCTCTCTGTCTTTCTTTGGTCTCTCTCTTGTCTCTAACTTACTTGTGCTTGCAGCTTGTTACCGCATCATGGAGGCAGCCATGGAGCAGGCCTGTATGTCAGAGAGCCAGGCCCCAGTGCATAGCTCTGTTCCTGGGCTCAGTCTGCAGCAGAGCAGGCAGGTCCTGAGGGTCCTGGAGGAGGCCTTCTCTGCCGTCATCTACCATCTGCGACAGGTACCAGTTTGTCTCACACCATCAATTAAATTCCATTGTTGTGTGTATCGCCCTAAATCACAACAGTAAATCTTTACAAAGACTTCACAAAGTCAATTCTCCAACGCAAATCATAGAATCAAACAGTTCAATCACAGGAAATGAAATGATAACAAACAGTCATTGGTCTATAATGGGCAGAGACCAATGTCAATAAATGTTGAGAAATTCTCCAGATAGACAACATAGACGGAACAAAACTAACACTGAATCACGTCTGTGAAATACTTAATGTGTCTCTAAAAGCCACCCTGTGTAAATTTACAGTTGCTCCATATGAAAAAACATGTTAATATCAAATATGACCTTTTTAAGAATATTTACCTCCACCATGTATTTTTAATTGTTTTCATAGGCTTAGAATTTCACTTATAAATGTCCATGAGAGAGGAGTCCTCTTGGTGTCAATGCGCCATCTTGAAATACAGTGGTGGATAAGGGACAAAAAGAATGAGAATGGCGTTTTTGTTTCACATGTGCTACTGATATTGTTCTACAGTTTGAAGAAGGAACCATGGAGGACCACGGTTTTGTAAAAGAACAACCCGAACAACAATCTTTTCAAAAAAGAATTATGCCAAAGTCATAGCAGCGAAGTGTCAACATCGCAAACCACATGCACAAAGACAGCGTTAATACAACAGGAGGCACATTATGAAGTTTGTACACAACAGACTTGCATGTGAACAATAGGTAACTTTTTTCACACTGACAATAATGACAACGAGGCAGAATCTGCAACACAGTCTCAGGATGTTCTGAGCCGAGCGCAGTCCAACTACTGTCACAAGTGTCAACTAAACTTATTCAGGAACAAACCTCAAATAAAACACACAGAATCCCCACAAAATAATTGCCAGAATACTTTTATCAGCAGCATGAGTGAATGTTCTGTTTTCTTACCGTGATGCAGATAGGGCGCTGTGGCTAACGCTAATAATAACATGAGCTTTTAGCCATGTTCTGCCGCGGCTGTGTATATGTCTTGCTTCTCTGATCATTGTAGTTTTAAGCTCTCGCAGACGTTAATACTCCATGCGTCTCCGCTCTTCACACCGCATTTGTAAAACCCATCCATCCATCCATTTTCTACCCTTTAATCCATTTCTGGGTCAGGGGGGTGGCAATCAGAGATGCCACCCAAGTCTCATAGCACCAGCCCCTCACTGACCCTCTGCAGGTGGTGAGTCCACAGGAGGACGGCTGCTCTCTGAGTGTGAGCATAGCCTTGATCTTTCAGTGGGGGCTTTGGGCAAAGTGGGGTTAAGTGTCTTGCCCAAGGACACAACGACAGCAGTCATCAGTGGGAGTCGGTGGAGAAGGTGTAGAGGTGGGAATTGAACCCACAACCTTCAGGCCTGAAGGCCAATGCTCTACCAACTGAGCTACTGTCGCCCATTTGTAAAACTATATTTTATAATTAGGGCCGGGACTTTAACGCATTAATTCAGTAAGGGATAATGTATAGTACACAGGTTATTATCGGAAAATAAGTACCGACAGGGCTTCTGCTTCCGGACTGAAGGCGGAAGCAAACCATCTCTTAACAGAGAAGAGGTGGGTTAAGATTGGTTTTGCCTTGCATTTAGCACAACTTCCTAACAACGCCCTAACAATAGATAAGGTCAGTGACATGCTAATGATTTAGGATCGTTAGCCCTAGCAGGACTGTGTTCGCCTCAGATTCAGGGGGTATCTATAACCACACCCACAGGTTATATAACTCCAACTTGCAGCTGAACTTTCATTTCCTTGAGAAGTTATTCTGTATTAAGAAAGAAACATTGAAAAACCTGCTAACTGAAGTCCAGATGATGGGTGAGCAACCTTCCTTTGTCTTGTATTATCCCAGTACGACGGAGATCTTACACAAATTTTAAAGTCTATAAATGTCCTTAACCTTTGTGCTATAATCAGGTCAAAAGGACCCCTCTCAGGAATTAAAAGTAAAAGGATAATATCCTAAACTATGGTTTTAACAAGGTATAAATGAAACGTGTCAAATTGGACTTTTGATTTGCAACCCCTGCCGTACGGTGCTTTCACACCGGATCTTTTGTTGCGTCGACTTTCAATTCAAAGTCAATGGTGACGCGCGTTCAAGTGTCGAACTGAATGTGCGTCTCGGGATACATGCACGGACTGCGCGTCAGAGGCGCAGGAGCGGAAAATCGACGCACGCAGGAGATAAATATTGCTAAGCGTTTCCTCAGGACGCTCGTGCAGGCGGCAACCAATCAGAGCCGCAAAGTGGTCACAGGGACATTAGTGGTCTGAGCGAGCAGACTGAACATACTCTTAAACTGCCAAAACAGGAGCTACATCAGGACTAAACCAGGGTTGACAATGGGGGACATAGTGCTTGTGAACATATGTGTTTTATTCAACTGCTTCGAGCGTGTTCGCCGATGTGGAAGTAACGTTTAATAATAATAAACGTATAGCGCACCTCTGCGAACACATACTGCTGTTATATAAAGTCTCTGGAAGGTCTCTGGACACAGATGCTGCAGAGCTGCATTATTGGAGAAAAACTTTACACAAAAAGCCGCTAGCTTAACTCTGTCAGCATCAAAGTCCGGTTCTGGTGTGAAGACCCCTGCATCTGAAAATTAGAGAATGTGCGTCTGGTGCGCGAGGCATCAGCGTTCCAGCGTCGGCGGTGTGAAAGCACCTTTAGACCCTCCTGCATCAGCAAGGAACCACTCTATTAACCCAGGACTGAGGCATATGCAGCGTCACTAACAACCTGTGTTTTTCGACTTAAGGTTGCATTTCTAAGTCTTCCCGGACCTCCCTAACCATCTGCTGGAGTACTGTTTTAAGCCTTGAACATAGAGAATGTCTCTGCTTCCTGGACGTGGATGGGGAGCTGATTCCACAGTAAAGGAGCTTGGAGCTAAATATGGAGCCTCTTGCCTCCATATTGATATTTGTCACAGTCAAAGTAACATTTGCCCTGTTTCTATCTACTCTACTCTCTGGTCTCTCTCTCTCTCTTCTCTCCTCTACAGGTGGATGAGAGCCGCTTCGGGGAGCCCTTTGTCTTCGCCTCGTTCCGGTCTCTGTGCTCGTGGTTGGCAGAGGAGACTTCCTGTTTGAGGGAGGAAGTGACCATGCTGCTGCCCTTCCTGATTGGCTACTGCAGGAGTCACATGAGCGGCGGAGAGCAATCAGAGCTCTCTGATTGGATAGAGCAGGAGTCAGTGGCAGGAGAGCAGAGGTGGACGGGGAAGGAGCCTCTCAGGTCAGAATTCTCTGGTTTCTCCTGCTCTCTGGTCTCTCTCTCCCACTGGTGTCTCATTCTTGTGTCCCCCTTTAGGTGCCTTCTCCCTGTGTCACCGCTCTCCTTCATGCACCTTCTCCCTGTGTCATCTCTCTCCTCCTTTAGGCACTTTCTCTCTCTCTTCTCCTCCCTCGGGTACCTTCTCCATTTCTCACCTCTCTCTTCTTTCAATTACCTTCTCTCAGCCCTCTCACCTCTCTGCTCCTTCTTCAGGTACCTTCTCCCGGCCCTGGGTCACCTCTCCGCTGAGGCAGATACCAGGAAAGTCCTCCTCTCTCTGGATGCTCCTTTACTGCTTGTGCAGTTTGTGTCTGAGTCCTGGGAGCGCATGAGAGACAAGAATGTGAGGGACCCCAGTGTGGAGACGGCCTGCTCTGCTCTGCTCAACATCACTGTGACAGAGGCCAACGCTATCAGGTACCAGCACTGCTAACCCGCTAGCTCAATGCTAATCCGCCAGCTGTTGTTTGCGTTACGTACTCCCAACAGGATTCCACATCCTCCATTCTGACCCTGCGAGCAGCTGCGGCCGCTTTGTAATAAAAGCAGTTCCTGTGAGCAACTTTGAAAACAGCTCAGCGAACCTGCAGCCGTCGTATGGTCTATGGGCCGAGCTTGGACAATAGACGCACGGATAGAAGCATAGATGTGCAGACGAGGCCATCCTCAGCTTGTTGCAAGTGCAGGTCTCCTCCGTGTCTCCCTAAGCTCAACCTAAACTACAAAATTAAAGCGGGGTACCTACATTTTCACTTGCATTAACATTGCATGTTGGTTGCGCACAAAAGTAAAATGTTGTGAATAAATCAAACAGAACACACCACAGGCCTACCCAACCCTAACCCTTTTTTTTTTTTGCTTACTTAAGAGCCCTGGGAGTCATTATTTAACTTTTTGGGCTGAGAGTCTATCCATCCATGTCCATGAAGACAAGGGCTGAGAGTGGATTTTTAACATATTTTCTTCTCACACAGCTCGTGCCACTATATAGCCAAACTATTTTTGACTTATTGTATTGAGAAACGTATTTTATTCTCATTATTTTGGTTGTTTCATTATCTGAGTGGAAGTTGTATTTTTTTTAGTGTTCTACTGAAGGTTTATAATAATACACCCCATTCCTAATGAAAGCCACAAGTATCAGCTCTCAAATTCTTCTGGAATTATGTTTATCTGCTACAGAGGCTGAGATATCAATCCTTCTGTAGACATTGAATTTCAGGAAATCTTTAGGTTTTAGGAGGGTGGTTCTAAAATTTCATCCCTTCTGACCGCCAGAGTGCGGTGCATAGCACTGAATGTTCCCTTCGCGCATGCGCAGGGAACTTTAAGTGCTATGCACCGCCCTCTGGTGGTCAGAAGGGATTCATAGAACCGTGGTTACATACGTAACCCTTGTTTTACCAGGCGTTTCAGGTCTAAATGGGTTAATATAACGTCAGGACTATAGGCAACAAGAAATGGCATTTGGTACTTAAAAAAACAAAAAAATCTGTTCTTGGAGGTGTGTTCCTGGTGCTATAAAGTGTTCTAAGGGGGCGACAGTGGCTCAGTTGGTAGAGTATTGGCCTTTGGGCCTGAGGTTCGAGCCCACCACGAAACCTTCTCCATCAACTCCCAAGACACTTAAACCCACTTTGCCTGAAGCCCCCGCTGAAAGATTACGCTATGCTCACACTGTCAGAGCAGCCATCCTCCTGTGGACTCACCACCTGCAGGAGAACCATTAAGGGGCTGGTGCTATGTGACTTGGGTGATCGACCCCAACCCGGAAATCGATTTAAGGGGAAGAAGATGGATGAATTTGGACTCAAACACCCATGAAAATGTTGCTCCCATTTTCTTGCGCACGCGTGTCACCATAGACTCTCAGCTGCTCAGTGACAGTGTGTTGGTCCGTATTGCTGCCAAAATTAACATGCCAGGTTGGAAAGTACAAAGTTTGGTTTAGACCGAGATGAGAAATATTGATACTGCACCGTCTGCAAAAGGAACATCAGTGTAACGACGATGGGTGGCACTTACTAGCCTAAGGTAATTGATTGCTATCCTCAACATAAATAACTAAAGCTAGTCTAGCCAACCGATGATAAGATGACCCCCGGTGGAATTGCGCCGTAGTAAATGACAGCGGCTCCTGCCTCCAGTAGCTGTTAACTGCTTTGACAACAGTAAAAGCCTGTGTATACTCGTGCGTCACTGGTTGCATTGGCATTTGCGCTGGACCTGTGGTTGATAGCGCAGCCACAGTTGATAAACCAAGCTGTTTGCGCTCATTAAGTGTGTTTTCTTGGCGTAAGTTTGTGACAGTTCTATAGACTCATTGTTTCATAACTAATTTCTACTCTGATGCTTTGAGTAAAGAAGAGTAAAGAAACATAATTCATAAGTGTATTTGTGCAAAAACAGCAAAATAATAAGTGATAATTATCTGAGACCAAACATGAACTATTTACAAGTGCAAGATGAATGCAACAGATGCGTCAAGATAGAAGTGGATTTTCAAACAAAGACCGGAACAGCACAAAAAAACAACCGTATAGTATATAAATGTTCGATATGCTAGTCCACAGCCTCCTTATATACAGTATCAGGCTTGTGAGCCATGAGCCCAAACTGCTTTTCCTTTGGTCCCGTTCGAAGCACTGCTCCCAGGTGTCTCGTCCATGTTTCCCCACATGCTCCATGGTTTTCATTCAAAATGTACAGGCCAATCCAAACGGACCTTCTCTGCGCTGCCGGCTGCGTATTTATAAAATTCGAGGGTGCATGGGATGTAGCGCATCTGTCATGTGACATCAGGACACGTCACGAGGGCCCCCGCAAGCTCCATGATACACGACAGGGTAAAGCAAACCTAGCTGTTTGTGTAACCTGTGCACGCAATAAATACAGCTTAAAGAAACAGCTGGAGCTTCAGGAAGTGACCATGTGTCCCCCTGTGTCTTTTCCTGAAGCATCCATCCATCCATCCATCCATTTTCTTCCACTTTATCCGTTGCCGGGTCGCGGGGGCAGCAGTCTAAGCAGAGACGCCCAGACTTCCCTATCCACACACACCACCTCCAGCTCGTCCGGGGGGACCCCAAGGCGTTCCCAGGCCAGCTGAGAGACATAGTCTCTCCAGCGTGTCCCGGGTCTTCCCCGGGGCCTACTCCCGGTGGGACGTGCCCGGAACACCTCCCCAGGGAGGCGTCCAGGAGGCATCCTGAACAGATGCCCGAGCCACCTCAACTGGTTCCTCTCGACGTGGAGAAGCAGCGGCTCTACTCCGAGCCCCTCCCGTGTGACCGAGCTCCTCACCCTATCTCTAAGGGAGCGCCCAGCCACTCTGCGAAGGAAGCTCATTTCGACCGCTTGTATCCGCGATCTCGTTCTTTCGGTCATTACCCACAGCTCATGACCATAGGTGAGGGAGGGAACGAAGATTGACCGGTAAATCGAGAGCTTTGCCTTTCGGCTCAGCTCCCTCTTTACCACAACGGTCCGATACAGAGACCGCATCACTGCGCACGCTGCACCGATCCGCCTGTCAATCTCACGCTCCATCCTTCCCTCACTCGTGAACAAGACCCCGAGATACTTGAACTCCTCCACTTGAGGAAGGACCTCTCCACCCACCTGGAGAGGGCAAGGCACCTTTTTCCGGTCTTTTCTTGAAGCACTGAAACTAAAACACCAAATTAAAGCGGGTGACCTAAATTTTCCATTGCAGTAACAATGCATGCTGGTTGTGTTCAAAAGGACCACAACAATCAGTCTTATCGTGTTTATTTTTTTGATATATATTTTTTTTGCATACTTATGAAAGAGCCCTGAGAGTCATTTTTTGAATCTCAGAACTGAAAGCGGATAAATTGACCGATGCAACAAGATGAAATTAATTTGATAGGTTGTCTGTAACGCTGAAGTGGTTTAAAGTGAAGACTGGGAGACTTGTGTGCTCCCACTCAGGGTCACTGCATGTTATATCGTTGAGTTATATCGCAACGCTTTCTTGGGCCAAAGCACATCCAATTTAATTAATGTATGTCTACTATTGTTTATAGTAGACAGATAATAGTTTATAGTATAGTAAAAAGTTCAAATTTTTTGCTTGAATTTTCCACTTAAAAAGCTGTATGAATCCTGAAATTGGCTCCAGCTCATGTTCAAATCAGCTTCATCTGCTTTAAGGCCAACACTCTCATGTCTCACTGTAATGATGTCACACTCAGTCCCCCCTGATCCTCTCCCTTTGTTCTCTTTGGTTGGAGGATGGCCACCTGGTTCTCTCTCTGTCTCTCTCTCTTTCTGGTTGTAGGAGTGCCACATGCTTCTCACCCTCTCTTTGGTTGTAGGAGTGCCACCTGGTTCCAGACCATGGGGACCCTGCTGAGTGAGGTTCTTCTGGTCCTGGTTCACAGGCCGAGTCTTCTGGTGCTGGGAGCAAACGTCTGTTGTCTGGGGCTGATGATGGGGCGACTGTGGCCTCGTACCGGTGAGAAACCAGGACTAGGACCAGATCCCATCAAAACACTCTTTAAGAGTGAGAACTTAACTAAGAGAGAGAACTTAACTCATTCTGCAGATACTCTCTCTCACTTTCACTTTCACTCTCACACACACACTCTCTCACAGTAAACTGTCTCAGTAAATCTATTTCTCTCCCCCTCAGACTCCCCATCTCCCTCCCAGCGGAGCCTCCTCTCCTCAGCTCTCCTGTTCCTCCGAGGGGCCCTCTCTCCTGGTTCCGCCTCTGGTCCTGTGTTGGTGTCGCCGGTCTGGTCTGGGAGCTGGGACCATGTGTCAGAGCTGTGGAGGCTGTCGATGCAGGCCCTGGCCAGCTGTGTCAGGTCTCAGCCCTGGGTGGTGTTGCTGGTGAGGGATGAGGGCTGGCTGAGGCACACTCTGGACACTCTGATGGTCTCCTCTGGTCTACCAGATGCAGAGACACAGCTAGTCCTACAGGAGGCCCTGTGTGCTGTGGCCCAGGTCTGCCCCCGCTGTAGAGGGGACATCCAGGCCGCCATGGAGACCAATCAGGGGGCACTGGCCGGGCTCAGGCTGCTCTGGGCTCACAGAGACAATATCACTGTATGAATACCAGGTGACCACAGACCATATCGCTGTATAAACACCAAGTGAGCAGAGACCATATCGATGTGTAAACACCAGTTGAAGCTATAAACTGGTCTCTCTCTAGTCTCTCTCTGATCGTGTCTCAAATGTAAATATTGAATATTGAAGTGAATTAAATAAAGATATATTTTTGTCAGAATGTGTGTTTGTGTCACTCTCAGTTTAAATCATAGCTGTACATCACTCCACCTGAACCTCAACTGGTTCCTCTGCATGTGAGGGAGCAGCGGCTCTACTCGGAGATTCTCTATCTCTAAGGGAGCATAGATGTCTTTTGACCAGCAACAGCAGAACAGACTTCTGCACCAGAGGAGCTGCAGGGATCACTTTTGTCCACCAGAGGGCAGTGTCCAACAGCAATACCTTATAATATAATACATAATGTGACTTTACCTCCGTCTGAATCCATGTGAGATCTGTCTGACACATCTCTGACTGGTTCTGGTTCCGGTCTCAATCTTGTTCCCGATCTTGGTCCTGGTCCAGGCCCGTCCTGGTCTTGGTTTTGTTTTACATAATGTATTTCTGTCTTTGTCATATATTTAGAATAAAGAGAGGACCACCTTCACTCAGCCAATCAGCTCTGAGCCCAAAGAGGCAGATACTGACTTAAAGGGTTTTGTCTGATGTTACTCCTGTGGGGGAAGTTGTAGACCTCAGCTTTATCTCGTTATGAGAGCAGTGCAGTTATATCCTCTACCAGTGAAGGGCGCTGGTCTCTGAGGCCTGAGGCTGCGGCCTCGGGGCCTAAAAGGCCTGAGGCCTCTCACGTCTCTGACGCTACAGAACTCCGCAGGTTTGACCTTTGTCGCGTGTTTGTTTTGCTTGTTTATTTTTGTCATGAATTTGACAGAAACAAACGAATAATCGAGCAACTTTGACCTCAGTGTGAGATCACAGACTCAGAGGGAAATGTTAGACTGCGTTTATTCTCAAATTTTAAACGTTATAGATTTTTTTATTATTATTGTAATTAGTGCAGAGTTGAGCTTTTTTAATATTCGCTTCTATTTGTGTGTCCTCTTCCTCCTCCTGTATCCTGTGATGCAACACTGACATTTCGCACAGTGTAACAATCCTCTGTGTCTCGTGTTTCAGATAAATCCAGTGTTTTTAGATACGTGAATCTGACCTGTGATTGATTAAACAGTGCTCTGTGGATATTACTAACAATACTAATGACGATATTTTATTCATATTGCACCGACATTTCCACGAAACCTCACGGCTCCAGACTAAAACACAATACAATTATAAATACATCAAATCTTTTACTATTTTTTTTATTTCTCCAAAACGTTTTAGATATTTGTGGTCAAAACGTCGGTGTGTGTCGGTTCGTTAGAAGTGGATTGTTTGCTACATTGTCACAGACCAGTTTTATTGATTTAAGTGAATGAATGAATCGCGTCTGGATCCTGTTTTGTCTTCTATGGGATTTCACGCTTAAATCTTTCCCCTTTCAGCCTCCGCTTCCTCTTCTCCTGCTCCTGCTCCCCTCCCTTCTCCTGCTCCTTCTCCTCCTCCTCTTCCCTTCTTTCATTCTTTTCTCCCATTTATCTGTAAACACCAGCGTCCACTGAGAATAACCTTCTGTCTCCTCCCGCCCCTCCCCTTGTGCTCCACAGTCGCTTCATAAACTCGTGCCCGGAGTCAAACTCTCTACAAAACTCTATCCATTACGCACTGGTCACTCTCCGCTAGTCCCTCGCCGCTGGTCCCTTTCTTCTAGTCCCTCTCCCCAGGCCCCTCTCCACTGGTCCCTCTCCTCTGGTCTCTCTCCGCTGGTGCCTGTCTCCAAAGCGCAGAGATGCTGTGGAAACCCCGGAGCAAGAGCGACATTCTGCAGGTGAGAACAGACACTTTCTTTCCTCATCAGATCCGCAGTGTTATTCATAAAAGTGTAATTAATGGAGGTTTATTTCTATGTTTCTATGACTTTCTAAAGATCTGCGAACACAGGGAGCGATGCTGCGACTGTTCTGGTCTCGGTTTGTGCCAGATTCTTGTAAAGTGCATTTATACTGCTGCAGTCTGCGAATCCTCAAAGATCTAAACGACAAATTTAGAACCAACTTTGATAAATGTGAGACTTCTGCTTATAGTCCGTGCATAAAGGCCGCGTGCGTAAAAAGTGCCTTAAGCGACCATGACACAATTTGACGCAAAAACATGTATCTTTCCACTATTTTACTGAATAAATGTCAATCTGCGTCGTGTTAAAATCACCGAGACCCAAAACCCCGCTGATCACCCTGAATCTGCCCCTTTAAGACCCGCAGACCCCTCCCCTCTGCCGTTTTAAGCCTCGGTATTTATAAGCGGCGCGTATTTGGACTCGTTCTGTTTGTTCACATCTGTCTCCATCGCTTGGATTAAACTGATCAGTTCGGCGTCACCTTTTGAGGTTTTGGGGTCATCCAGATGTTGATCCACACCTATTCTGCCATGGTGAGTCACCTTAGTGCCGTGTGTAGAAGTCTGCGTCCGGAAAAAAGAAAGAAAGAAAAAATGAATGAAAGAATGAATGTGGAGAGAAACACTCGTGTAATCAATGACCTGTTAAAGCACTGGTAATAATAATAATAATAATAATAATAATATAATTTAATCCTATTATCACGTTACTCGCCTCGTGTGTGTGCGTGTGTTTTGTGTGTGTATGTGTCCTTTCATTAAACATCTTTTAAATAGAGACAGATCTCTGTAAAATCTTCTGCATATTTGTAAATGCTCAAATTTATAATTGTAAAAAAGATATAATTACTATAAACTTCAATATAATAATAAGGATGACAGTTTTACTCATGTGTTGCAATATCATCCTAAAATGTATGCGTTTTTTTCAGGTCATTAGTTAATTTTAGTGTGAAAATAAATAAAGCAAAAAGGGAAAGTATTAAAATGTATTCTCAAATTGTGTGTGTGTGTGTGTGTGTGTGTGTGTGTGTGTGTGTGTGATGACGCATCTAATATTCTCTTATTTAAAAAAAAAAACTACCGTTTTTTCTTTGAACTGAACTAATCGTGAAAGCTGTGAATAATTTACATTCATTCTGATACATCAGTGTAATATATATATTTAATATAGTTTATTACTTTTGTTCGTGTTGTGTTCATTGTGATATTGATTTGATTTTTTTGCGCAGAAATACGTCATGAATGTCTGTAATTCATTTTTTAATAGCAGTGTTTGTTTGAAGTGGTGCCCGAAGAAGAAATAAACAACTGAAGTTAGAGTGGCGCGTGCGGAGCTCTGTTCAGGCGCAAAATCTACCGACTTTAAATCAACAAAAAACTAAGTTTAACCTGAAACAAATTTGAGCTGGAGCCATCGATCTGTCCCAGCAACAATCAGGCTCAATGTCAGTGACACGGGAGGCCACGGGATCTTCAGACCTTCATCGTCAGCCACAGTCCTGGGTCTACAGCCTCAGTCCAGGGTCTCTCACTGTGGAGTTTTAAGAGCTGTCAGAGCTCTGGTTCTGAGCTGATAGAAGTGGTCCACATGAGTTTCCCCCAGAGTGGAGCTCGGGGTAGAGCCGCTGCTCCTCCAAGACAGGAGCTGCTGGGTTTGTGAAAATAAATAAAATATAAATAAATATGATTTCCTGTCTCTTTGTCTCCACAGGAGCGGGCAGACCTCAGCTCTTCCCCCGGCTCTCGCCTCTCCTCCCTCTCCTCTCTTTCCTCCCTCTCCTCCCTTTCCTCCCTTCCTCAGGGAGGGTACTCCTCGGCCCCTCCCCTCTGTCACACTCCCGCCTCAGACTTCCAGCCTCCGTACTTTCCGCCTCCGTACGCGCAGTCGTCACTGCCGTACGCGGCGCATGCTCAGAGTCAGGAGTACGAACCGTACGCACTACACGCGCCGCACCAGCCGCACGCGCACATGCAGCCCTGGCACGCGCACACGCACAGGGCACGCGCTGACGACCGCCTCTCGCACCGTGCGCTCCTGCAAGACATGCACTTGCAGCACGAGGACGGGTCGGTGAGTGACGTCACACATAACATCACACACACAGTGTCCAGCAGCAGAAACACACTTCTATGACTCTGTGGTGGATCATCTTGTAAGGTGTGTCTGCAGCAGCATCACAGAGAGGGAAGAAGCCTGAACAGCTCATCAAGAGGAGCAGCTCTGTCCCCATGGAAATAGTGTGAACAAGAGTGAACTGCTGAGTCAACACTAGTCATTGCTCTTGAGTGGAAACCTGTTCTTATAATTCATAATTCTATAATAATAATAAAGTCAGCAGCAGGGATAGATAAAATGCAGGAGATACATGAGTTGGAGGCAGTGTTGGGCATTTGTTCTCCCTGTAGCTCATTTACAAAGATAATATCACTATAAAAACTCCCAGATCACAACTAAAGTTCTGGGGCTGTATTCCTCAAGATTTTTTCTGCTATAAGAGTTGCTCCTATAGTGGCCAAATTTTAAGAATGTTCTTAGAATCTTGACGTGCTCTTAGAATTTCCCCTAAAAGTGAAGAGTAGAATCCAAGGGCCCATATTACGCTTTTTGACTTTTCTGTGGTTTAAACATTATTACAGTGCAATTCTGAAATCCACAAAGAAACTCGCAAATCTTTTTTTTGAGAGTGACGGTGACACTACCAAAGACTGCTCCAGAACTACAGTTACATTGAAACGGGACCTACTCAAACTCTGATCTGTAAACCTGGTGTTATTTGCAAAATAAAAGACGCTAACAGAAGCCTCGGTCTGTGAGTACAATGCAAATAACGTGAACTAAATAATTAGGATCTGATTTTGGACTGAGAACAAAGGGCTATATGTAACGGGTTGCCATTGTTGAAAAAATGACCAGCTTGGCAATTAATATAAGCAAATCAATATAACCATCACTGTGTTCATACTGTGCAAGTTTTCCCACATTTTGTTGGATGATTTAAAAGTATAACTTACTATTCAAAGCATTAATTTACATTGACATATCTATTATCTATATCTCTCTTTTATGCAGAATATCATTTACAATGACACAGTCTTCCTAAGATTTGACTCCATGATTAAGTTTGTCCATTTGAGGGTCCTTATTTTGCCCATCATCACCAAATCATGTTTTCTCTAACTTTTACGATCAACCAATCATAGCATCTGAAACATCACATCAACATCATAGCAACGGGGTCGGCCACGCCTCCTCACTAAGACAGGAGTTTTTGTCCATTCCCTGCTCAGAGTTCTCTAAAAGAATGTTCTGGAATGTTCTCTCTGGTCTCTCTCTGGTCTCTCTGGTCTCTCTGGTCTCTCTCTGGTCTCTCTCTGGTCTCTCTCTGGTCTCTCTCTGGTCTCTCTCTGGTCTGGGGGGGGGGGGGGGGATTTATGGACCACCCCCCCTCCCTCCCCCTGTGTCTCGAGAGTCCCTAAAGAGGCCCCCATCATCACAGTCACATACAGACAGAGGAATACAGATTCATAATGTATGCATAGAGACATGGTGCTCTTGTTCCAAAAATATATTTATTTATTGCACGCACGCGCATACACACACACACACTGATGTCTGTTGTGTTTCAGATGGACGATGGTGTCTTGGATCACTCTGTCATCAAAAAAGGTGAGTGGAGTTTGTGTGAAGTACTTTTTCAAAACACGTATAGTGTAATTTTTAGCGCTGATTTGTGTTACAGAAATAGGAATTTTTGTGTTTATGAACCTCGCACCCAACAATTAGTTTCTCCAAATCAACCCAGAATTGTCACATTTTTTAGTGCCAATTCTGCTCTAATTTGTATTGTTGAAAAACGTAATTGTGCTACTTTGGATTTGGATATATCGATATGTATTTCAACAGCACAAATTCAGCACTAAAAATTACATTTTAATACATGTTTTTTGCAGTATAAGTAACAATTTTAGCAGTGGCAGCTGTGGCAGCAGCAGCAGCAGCAGCAGCAGTAGAGACTGATAAATAATTCCTCTTCATTTGAAGTATAGGCTGCAGACTCTGGGCCTAAAGGCGAATCTCTGTAATGAAGGAGAGAAGGGGGAGGGTAGTATTGGACCGAAGAGCTACTCTCAGGAAACACTGCAATAAGAAACGCCAGAATGTGATGTTCATGTAGGATTCAGGTTTAAAGAAGTAACACAGGAATTTTATCCTTTAAATGATAATGAGACTGTTTAATTTCTGGTCCCTGTCGGTGAACTCTCTCTGGTCTCTTTCAGGTCTCTCTCTGGTTTTTATTTAAAGCCCCAAACAAACACACATAACTCTGCTTCTACACAACACTTTTCTTTCAATTAAAAACTTATCCAAACTTATGCGTTGTTGTTAGCGCTCTTGTTTAGCCGCAGGGCTAAAGATCCACATTTAGAGTGTCGCTGCATAGTTCAGACACATGAGAGCGAGAGCAGTCATTATGACTGTCTCTGCAGCAGGTCTCACCCCTGAAGGCAGAAGTCGCGAATAATCAGACTGAAAAAGTAGTTTTTATTTAACATGTTCTTCCTCAATAAAAAAAAAGGATCTGAATATGTGGAGGCTGCTGTTTTAACAACACCTGCAGTACTCTCTCTGGACGCATTCTCATAAGTCTGGTCTCTCTCTGATCTCTTCAGTCCCCTCAAGGCTGGCAAGCTCTCCCTTCTGCCTGGGTAAGGAGAGCTGGGGCCTGGGAGCGGTGTCCAACCCAGCTGAGATCTTCTGCTCGGTCCCTGGTCGCCTCTCTCTCCTCAGCTCCACCTCCAAGTACAAGGTGACAGTGGGGGAGGTGCAGAGGAGGCTGGCTCCCCCGGAGTGTCTCAACGCCTCTCTGCTGGGAGGAGTGCTCCGCAGGTGAGAAGTTTGAAGCTGGGTTGTTTAACTTTAGTCTCATTATAGACATTTGGATTATAAGGAGAAATAATACATTTGTTTTTTTCTCTTAAAAATAATGTAACTTTTGGTCTCTCCTTCAGGGCCAAGTCTAAGAATGGAGGTCGATGTCTGCGTGAGCGTCTGGAGAAGATTGGGCTGAACCTACCTGCAGGACGTCGTAAAGCTGCTAATGTTACTCTGCTCACGTCTCTGGTGGAAGGTGACGACCCTGACCCCTAACCTCTCTCTGGTCTCTTTCTGGTCTCACTCTGGACTCTCTGCAGGGGAGGCGGTGCATCTGGCCCGGGACTTTGGTTTTGTGTGTGAGACAGAGTTTCCGTCTCGAGCTACAGCTGAATACTTGTGTCGACAAAATGACCCAGAAACAACACACACAAGAAGAAGCATGTTACTGGCTACAAGGTAAGTGTGTTAGTGGATCCAGGACTGAGGCTATAGACCCAGAACTGAGGCTGTCTCTTGTGTGTGTGAAGGGAGGTATGTAAGGAGTTCCTGGACCTCCTGTCCTCGGATCGCTCTCCGGTTGGAGGCAGCCGGCCGGTCCCATGTCTGGACCCGAGTCTTCAGAGTAGTCTGACCCACTTCGGTCTCCTCACACATGGGTTCGGCATCCCGGCCATCTGCGCTGCTCTCACCACCTTTCAGAGCCACCTCAGCGAAGCCCTCAAGGTCCTCGACCAGGAGACCAGCGGAAAAGACCTCAAGCACCGCAAGTGAGAGGCACCAGAGGAGTCCCTCTCTGGTAAGGGCGTAGATGGAAACCGTGTGGAAACCTACGCCATTACCCTCTGGTCCTCCTCTAGTTTTGGTGCTGGTCTGTCTAAAATAGTAACACGGACCTTTTTATCCTTATTTTGTATTTATTTCTTGAATATTTTAATGTATTTGAAGCCACTTTAACGTCGCTGGTTGGAGGGAGCGGCAGAAGCAGCACATCCTGGGAGTTGGAGTTTCCTGGAGACAACGGCAGCTACAGGGCTTTTGTTATTAAAACATGTTGCAACTTAAAAACATTTTGTACTCTGGTGTATGTTCTTTACTGGTATTGTATTTCATAAATGTAATATATTAAAGGAGATTCATTTCAATGCAACTGTGTGTGTGATTTTTAACACTCAGCTGAGGTGTCCATGGGCAAGACACCCATCCAGCACTGAGGCTGTGGTCTATCTGGTCTCAAACAGTCAAACACACAGATATATGAACATGTAGCTTTATTGAACAGAAAGAGCAGATACAAAAACAGACACAGAATCAGACAGAGATCTTCTCCAAGTCGTGGATCCCCTGTTTATCAATGACTCTGACGCTGAAGGACGGGAGGTTCAGGATGAAACGTTTGTTCAACTGTAAATATACAACACAGGTTAGACACCAGAGCGAGAAGTCCATGTAGAGGAAGATCAGTGTTATTGCTAACATCTATGTGGACCATGACTGTCGCCCCCTGCAGGACACTGTCTGCTCTGGAGAGCAGCTCCTTTGACAGACTGATCCACCCTCTGTGTGAAGGACAGGTTATACAGGTCCATCCTTCCTGCTGCTGTCAGACTGAACAATGAGAACTGAGTCTACATGTTGAGATAATCCACTAGTATTGTTACCTGCTGTTTTACACTATTATTATTTTCTATACTGGTTCTATCCTCTGCTACTCGGGTCAGGGTTAGCTACATCAGTAAATACTGCTGACCAGAGTAATGCACTAGAGAAGAGGTAACGTTACATTATTATTGTTATTCGAAGGTTTAATATTCCTGCTATTGTTATTCATTTTTCTTTTGACCTTGAAGACATGCACAATTCAAATGCAACCTGTTCTGCAAAAAAAAAAAAAAAGGTTTCGAGTTTGTCCAACGCACGGCGACTCTATATTGCCCCCTGGAATTTTAGAATTTGCAAAGCCTATAGGAAATTCAAATGAGTTATAAGTCTCTTGAGACAAGCCTAAAACTCTCTTCGACCCTTGTTTTTATTTTTATTTTTACTAGTCCTTGGATTCTTATATTACAGACTTCTACCACATCATCTATCATTTATAAAAAGTTAAAAAGTTAGAAATTCATCACTGTTTTTGTCCCTCGCCATGTCAAATAAGACCTTAGTTTTGGGTGTTTTCGCTGAGCCCTCAGAGCTGAGACTCACATCACTAATATTAGGTTTTGGCCTGAACGCAATGGCACTAAAATCATACGCCCAATATAAACTCTATAGCGCCACCTGTAGCAAAGTAATAGGGCACTAGTGGTCCGATCGTCCTGAAAATTGGAGAGTGATCTCTGAACCGAGACGAGCAAAACATTACATTTCACTAAAGTCCCACACTTGACCACTTTTTGGGGCAAGAGGTTTGTCCGATGAAGCTAGAAATTAATTGACAAATTTCAACGTATGACACTGAACACAATAAAATGCAACACACAATTGTAAGTGCACCAGCGCCACCTACAGGAAGTTCAAGGTGTTGTGTTTTTAAGATTGTCGCTTTCATCACATCTTGCGGCTTTAAATATTGTTGTCATTCCCTATGATTCCCTATGATAAACAAACTCTACAGAAACGACTTTACCAACATCGTAGAGAAAACTCTAGTGGGCCACAGTCGGCTGTTCATGTCCACCTCAAGGCCTCCAACCACACGGTGGATGACACAGAGGTTAAAATTCTGGCTCGGGAGAAGACTTGGTTTGAGAGAGGAGTGAAAGAAGCCATTTTTGTGAGGAAACAAAAACCTTCTCTTATCAGAGGAGGAGGGTTAAGATTTGTTTTGCCTCGCATCTATGCCTCAGGGCGGCACGGTGGCTGAGTGGATAGCACTCTCGCCTCTCAGCAAGAAGGTCCTGGGTTCGAATCCCGGCCGGACCAGGGCCTTTCTGAGTGGAGTTTGCATGTTCTCCCCGTGTCTGCGTAGGTTTCCTCCGGGTACTCCGGTTTCCCCTACCACTAAAAATATGTCCAATAGTGCTGGCATGTGCCTCCTGTACTGGCCCCGCTCCCATCTCTGTGTGGAGTGAGAGACAAATGCCCAAAATTAACAATTGTAAACCGCTTTGAGACTCAGATCTGCAGTGAAAAGGCGGTATATAAATAATAACTTACTTACTTACTTACTTACTCAGCAAGGTCGTTAGATCTGCTCCCTTCTACATCAAACAGACCTTAGATTGTTTATGAGTTAGTATCAGGATTAGGGTGTGGCTAACCACACCCATAGGTTATAAATCTCCAACGCGCGGTCTGAGAATTCATTCCCTGAAGAAGTCCGCTGGTTTGAGGACGAAACGTCGGGAAAACTTGCTAAGAAGTACAGATGATGGGTGAGAAACCTTCCTTTGCTAATCCCTATGATTTTTAATACTAGATCCTGTTCGGTCATATTCTCCATCTTCCACTGCGGAGTATTTATCAGACTTTATCTGATCAGGGCCCCCTCTCCAGGGGCGACTGTGGCTCAGTTGGTAGAGCATTGGCCTTTGAGCCTGGGTCGTGGGTTAGAGCCCACCACGAGACCTACTTCATGACTGCCACTGATGTTGTTGTGTTCTTGGGCAAGACACTTAACCCCACTTTGCCTGAAGCTCCCGCTGGAAGATCAAGGCTCCTGTGGACTCACCACCTGCAGGAGGATCAGTGAGGGGCTGGTGCTATGTGTACTGACTGCCACCCCCCCAATCCAGATTTGGATTAAGGGGAAGAAAATGGATGGATGGATGAGCCCTCTCGCCACAGGTACCAATATCTGAGACTCTAAGATTTTAACTTTGAATAAGAGCTTACCTCCTCCACACACTTCTTCAGGAGGTCCACAGCTTCTTCTCGAGTCAAATCTGAAACACAAGGAAAAGATCAAAGAGACCAGAAAGCAGAGAGAGCAAAGAGAGAGACACCAGAGAGAGACTAGGCCAGAGCGAGCAGAGAGAGAGGAGTGAGGCTAGAGAGAAAGGGACCAGCGAGAGCAGAGAGAGAGAGTAGTACCTGGTCTGTAGTAGCGGTCGAGGATGGACAGTGTAAGATAAGCTCCGTAGCCGTGAGCTGCAAACGGAGCTTTGGCCAAAGAGGACAAATAATCCATGTAGAAGAGTCCAGGACCATCAACGTCATCGAAACCAGCAAGCAGCAGGTTCACATGGTATGGAGTCTAAGAAGCACAAAGAGAGAGGTTGTCAAGCACAGACCGGTCACCTGCTGGAGAAGTCTGGTACCATTACTATCCTCTTCTACTGTATCTGTCATTATAGTAGTCTGTCCATTGCTATTCACCCGCTGCCCCATTGTTTCATGGTTCTGGTCCATGGTCTGCAGCATTATTATAACTCTGTCCAATGGTCTCTGTCTCATTGAGAGTCAGAGAGCAGCAGAGGTGTGACATGTGCACAGCTACCCCGGGCGAAGGCGAAGACGCCTGGAAAGAAGCCTGCCCATTACAGCTGCCGCCACTCTGAGAGAGGACCAGGGGAGGCCAGGAAGAGATGGGACCAGGAGGGGAGGGGAGCAAGAGGAGAGGACCAGGAGTCTCTAATACTAGATCAGATAATTCAGATAGAAAGGTGACAATTCAGAGAAACCAGAGCAAGAGACCACATAGAGAGAGCAGAGAAAAAGAGAGACCAGAGAGACCCCTGTAATCTCACCCTTTCTCACAGCACCGCCTCCCTTTTCTCCCTGATTCCAGGTGCTCGTCTCTCTCCATGTGTTTGTGTGGAGGCCTCAGTGGGAGGTAGAGCAGGCTCGTGCTAACAAGCCGAGGTGTATGTGTGTGTGTGCGGCAACAGGAGGAGGCGTCTGGGGAGCGGGATGCACAAACATTTGGGCTGATCCCACGTCACACAGAGTCAGGCAAGAGACCAGAGAGTCCCGAGGGTTAAGAAGGAACAACCACTCGAACATCATCACAGGACCAGAGGAGTCTCTAATGTGTCAACGACCGCATTTTAGTCCGTGACACATGGTCGTAGGCTCACCTGGTAGAATACAATGGTCCCTGGTATACGACAGAAGGAATGTGTTCTAAAAAATAAGCCACAATAAATGTAAATCCTTTCAGTAGCAACTTTAGTCCCAGGACTAAGCCTGTAGACCCAGGACTCAGACCGTCCAGACAGATTGACCACAGCTGCACTTGGGCCCCATCCCAATTCTCGCCCTTGCCCTTAAAAAGCACACTTGCCCTAGCGTTTGCGCGTGCCCGCGCGAGTGCAAGGGTGTCCCAATACTTAGGGAGACGAGGCGAGGGTCTTCACTGCCCTAAAAACCACCCTTGAGCGCAAGTGAGGTCGGGAGCTCACTTGCGAGCGAGGGTGATCCCATGATGCATTGCGAACTCGGCAAACCAGTTTTTCCAAATGAACATGGCGCCGACTCTCGGGAGCGAAAGCTACAAATGTAAGTACAATTTCACACAAACATGCACTCTAAAAGCTATGAAACGTGTCAGAATTATGTGGGTACGCAATTTGTTCTACAATGTAGAATGCCGGTGTTGGCTCGCTGTTTCGTACGTGTGCATGTGCATGGCATGGTGTGCATTGAATTCATAAACATAGGTAAGCGTTTGTCTTCACCATTAACGTTGGTTGTGTGTTTGCAAATCTGCGCAAACAGCTTGCAGTAGTAGTGGAACTGAGCAATTGACCAACGCTGTTTTTCCCCCAGGGACCACGGAGAAAACCTTTGCTCTCATAAATTACAGAGCTGCGAATGAAGCCAATTTTCTGAAAACAACATTTCAGACAAAAAGTCTGTGGCAGTAAGTGAAACTTCTATTCTTAATAATAATGCTATTGAACACAGCTAAATGCCTATACCTCACTGTATGTTCACAGGCAAGCAGTGAAAGAGCTGGGCCTGGAGGGGAAAGTGACCCACAAGCAGGTCAGTAAGAAGTGGGAGAACCTGAAGAAGCGCTACAAGGTAATTATCTGCAAATATATCTGTCTGGTTAATCCTGTAACCTCAACTCACTTTGCTGTGTGTGTGTGTAGGACCTAAGGGACCCAAAGACTGGCTCAGGCACAGATAGTGGGGAGAAGACCGCTTCAAACTGGCCGTATTACGCTGCGCTTCACGCAGTCTTGGGGGGAAGGCCTGCTGTGGATCCCCCTGTTGTTGTGGCGTCTTTCAGGCCAGCTGAAGACCCTACAGCTTTGCTAATGGTAAGAAACAAGGGAATATTTTTATAGGGGCGGTGTACAATAAACATTAACCCAAAGGAAAGATGCATTGAACCACTAGTCCCTGAGCAGGTTGTTGTCAAACAGTAAAATGTAAGTAATTGGAGGAATTATCAGACCAAAATTTCTATTTCATTTACCACAAGTTAAATAAAAAACACTGGCCAGCCCCATTATTCACTTATTATAAAGACATTTCTGCACTGAATTCACACAGACACGTCACACATGGAAACAGAGTTGCCTTTCCAATAGACATGTTTTTGTACTGCATGTGAATACTTTTAGTTCAGTGCAGGTGATGATCTCAGTTGGGAGTGAGTCCAGAACATTTTGGGACGCTGCACTCTCCACGTGCTGTAGACCGAGTGGCATGTGTACTTTGTGATGTGTACACACTGCTATGTCAGTGCTTGTAGCCGTGCAGTTAATAACTTTATTTGCCATGACGTGACAATAATTTGTCTCCAACAGGCCATTGTCAATCCTGACGAGACCCCCAGTGAGGATACTCAGTTGGGCTCTGCCTCCTCTGCACCATCGACCCGGTCTGCTTCTCCAGCTCCATCCTCAAACAATCCTCCCTCTTCACCAACCCCGTCCTCTTCATCCTCTCGCCATAACACCCCTACCCCCAGAAAAAGGAAGAGGACAGATAGCCAGAGGATTTTGGACTTTCTCCAAGCAGAGTCGGACAAGGAACAGAGAAGACACGAGGAGTCAGAGGAGAAGACTTTGCGCTTTTTAAGTCTCTTCCAGAGGATGGTGGAAAAGCTGTAGCCTGCTGCTGTGTGGCTGTTTGGGCAAACATGTCTGTTCATATTGTACATATGACATTTTATTAGAGTGTTTTTCAAAAAATAAATCTCAGTTAATGTGACTGTGTGTGTGTTGATGTTCACTGTTCTAGGAAGAAATACTGAAACTTAAAGTTAGGATCTTGGGAAAGGATATAAAGAAAAGGTCATCCATTGTTCGTTAAATCATTTTATTGAAAGAATTTACTTTACATTTAAGGGTCTTCATTGAACAATACAGCGAGCCTGTCCCTTATTGCAGTCCCTGCCCTTTCATATTCCTCAGCAGCTTCATGGAGAGGAAGTTCCGGGTCCAGGATGTCTGTTGCATCACTATCAGGTTCCAGGACGTCTCCGTTGTCTAGACATACATTGTGCAGAAAGGCACACGATGCTATAACCTGTGGTGCAAATGTAGGCTTGACCTCCAGGGCTCTGAACAGGGTTGACCTCCAGCGAGTCTTCATAATCCCAAATGCTCTCTCCACAATAGAACGGGCTCTTGACAGATGGTAGTTGAATTTCCTTTGGGCCCGGCCGTTCACTGGCTCTCGGTATGGAGTAATAAGGGCGATTGGTCCCTCCAAACAAGGATACCCACCATCTCCCAGAATGAAGTACCCCGTAGGTGGGTACCTTCTTGCAAGGTAAAACGAGCTGTTCTTCAGAATGCGCGTGTCATGCACAGAACCTGGATAGCCCACAAAAATGTCAAGGAATTTTCCTGTGTGATCACAAATAGCTTGCATTTGTATTGAGTAGAAACCCTTGTAATTTAGATAGTCCAGACGATGGAGTGATGGGGGCTTTATGCGAACATGACAACCATCAATGGCTCCAACAGCTTTGTTTAGTAGAGGTGTTCCAGCAAGCTCGGCAAAGCCGTTACTCACTGCATCAATGTCAGCCATCTTTGGAAAACTGATTGCTCGGTGTAGATTGTTCCAAATGAACTGTGCTACCCTATGGACAACCCTGTGGACAGTAGACCTAGGAATACTGAACACTCTGGACACAACACGGTAGGATAGTCCATGGGCAAGCCAGTATACATATATGAGGACCTCATATTCATTGCCCCAACCATGATCTTGCTCTCTCCTCATTACACGTTGCAGCGAATGCATGGCCTGCCTGGACAGTCTGAAGTCAGGTTTTGTGTCCAATTCGACGTCCAACCACAAGCGTAGAATAGGCACAACCACATTGACTTTACAGTACGTTGCTGGACGGTCACTCTGAAAAACAAAGAAATATATAGCATGAGTGATGGCCTAAGAGCACAAATTCCCCTCATGAAAGCAGTGATGTGACATTAACAATACAAACTATACATGCAAAGGCATTACAGTACTTCATATAATATTTTCCGCAATATAAATAGTTCTCAATATACTACTGTGACTCAAGATTTCAGCGAAAGGAAAGTAGAACCAGTGTAGCCAATGCTGCACCGCTTTGTTTTAGCGTTTGTGATACACGTGTTTAGTACATACTTAAAACAGCGATGAATACTTCATGGTTAGACGTTTGGACATATGGATGTAACTTTTGATCTTTGTATCGTTTGTAGGTCGTCTTGTTTTAGACAGTTTTGGTACGATAGTTAGTAATGTTGCAGCCATAGACTGTATATATATGCAGTCGGGCAAAGCCGCGCCATTATGAAAGAAAACAACATACCTGAAACATCCGGGCAAGCGCAACCATACGTCGAAGTCTCATCCTACGTCTGTTGCTTCTCCGTGTACTTTGCGAACGGAGAAAAAGCATCATAGCCCACAAAACAGGCAGAAGCTCCGCTGGACCCGGCATTTTCAAAAGTAACAACAACAGCAGTACTTCTCCGGTCTTACCTACCCTATGAAGAAATATGTATTACCGCCACCTATTGGACTGGGGTGAAATCCGAAAAACGGACATTGCGTGTGACGTAGTGGACGATCCTTTGCATACAAGGGTGTCCCAATACTTAGGGAGAGTTGAGTGCACCCTCCACTTGCACTCGCACTTGCACTCACACTTGCACTCGCACTTGCACTCGCACTTAAGGGCAAGGGGGAGAATTGGGACGGGGCCTTGTTGAATACAGAGTAGATTCTCACTTGTGTCGAACTTCTCTCTGTAGCGCCATGTCCTCAGGCCCAAATAAATCCATAAAAACTTGCTGT